TCGGAAATCAAACCCGGATCTTCGAGCGTCAAGGTGAAGTTCATCTGTTCTCAATATTTTGTATGGCCCCATGAGAGTCCAGAATTTCAGATTAACCAAACAGATTACGAATTGTGGACCTGGGAATGTCACACAGTCTTCCTGTAGTGCTTGTGCCAACTGTTGGAGGTTCTGGTGGTGTTGCTGACTTAATCGCGGACGTTGATCAGGAGCATGACATTAATGTTTGATTGGGGTTGGATATGGAGGCACAGAAGGCCATGTCATTACTCAAAAGGGCTGTTGTCAGTCTTGCCGTGCGAGGTTGTCGGATTGAAAACGTTTGCTTGATGCATAATGGGATGGGTGTGGGGCCGAAGAATTTCAACTGTGTAACATTGTGCCGTTAAATTGCCATGGGCGTGTACCAAGTCTCTTGAACTACCAGTATGGGAGATGACGGTCTACATCATTACACTCGTGCCACCAAACCTGTCCACTTCCTGTATGCATTAACGTTCCCAACGACGACTGTAAACACAACGTTTACCGTCTGTACGGAGAAGCAGATGCGGGGTATCTTTTTGTCTCAAAGACGCAAAGCAACCTGATTAGAATGGACACTTTACCATTACAAATACCTAGTACAGACACCCGTGAAGGTGCGGGTTAGAATTGATCTTCAGTAACCCATGCTTGTCGTACGAGGCGACTAACGGGTTCGGGTGGTCAGGCTCGCTGGCGGGGATGACACATTTCATCGTATCCCAATTGCGTAGATCGATGTTCATGCTGTTGATCCCTGGATTGTCTGGTCCAGACCCGATTATTAACAGACCGCCGCCATATAGCTGGACTATTGCTGAGTGCGGCGTAAAGCTAAACTCGCTCACTCACCTAGTACAGAGACTGTGAGACCTTTCCAGTGCCGACTTTTTGTGTTTCACAGTATCAGCATTATACCTCCTACTTATGTTGAGGTAATCTGACATGCGACAGAGATACACCTGGAAAAAGGTTAAGAACCTCGGTAATTTTGCAAAGTTGTACGTTTTGACCAACATCAGTAGTGTGCACGCGCAGTACGTTGGTAAAGCTGCATGGGTTTCTGTAAGATCATGTCCTGACTACAAGGCAAGAAAGTCGGTTTACTTCAACGTTTTAAGAATGGACATAGCACAACACACAACTCATCTGGTTTAGCTCAAAATGATATCTGTTACAAGTATGGAGCCAGAGAGATGAGGCAAGATGACGTGTATGTGATCTGACAAAAAACGTTTATTTGTAACTGGAAACGGTGTACAATCAATATTTAGTGTAACCTCCATGTGCGTGTAGAGTAGCTGCCTGTACCCTATGTCGCAAACACAAGTCAGTCATCGTATCCGTTGCACAGGAAACTGTCAAAAAGCTGCTTCCAGCTCACGCAGATTTTGAACAGGTGATACACGTGCTTGTATCCCTCTAGATAATGTCCCGAATATGCTTCAGGACATTCAGGTCTGGACTCATGTCGGGCCACGGAAGGTGAGGCACTACATTATTCTAAATGAAAGGTGTCACTGCGCGAGAAAGATGGGATTAGCGTTGGCATCCATAAATACAGATCTTAGCAAGAGGAAAATTATCAAAATAAGGGACAATAACTGGATCCAGCACTTCCTAGATATACTGATCCTCCGTCAAATTCCCACGCATTGTCAGCGTCCAGAAGGGTCCATTAGTTACACGAAGAAGGAATCGTCTTTCATCAGGCCAATTGATTCTCCTCAAAGTCCTCAAGTTTTCATCAAACTAAACGTGCTTGCTGGTGACGATCGCTCTAAAGAGGACGTTTGATTACCATTCTAGAATTTGTACTCGACTCACCTTAGGTGATTCCGGACTGTTCTCGAAGAGACCCGGCAGAATGGTAACCAGTGGTGCTTCAGTTAGTGCTTGTGGCGAATGGTTGTCGAGTGAGCCTCAATAGAGCCTTGTCTTCACGATCTGGGTCGTCCAGAACGTGGGCTATCCTTCACCTCAGTGGTCTCTGTGAATTTTCTGCCCCAACGACTGACAACAGTTACTGTCTTGTGGACATTCATTAACGAACCAATTGCCTTAAAGGACATACCGGAGTTACGCATTCCAATAGTTTGCCATCTCTGGCCATCTGATAATCTTCCAGAAATTGAACACAGTTCTGTTTGCGGTCTGTTATGGGTGCTTAACGTTTCCCCCAGGTGTATAGACCCGTGAAGATCCGTTTAGAATTGATCTTCAGTAACCCATGCTTGACGTAAGAGGCGACTAATAACTGGGTCAGGCTCGCTGAATCGTATCCCAGTTGCGTAGATCGATTGCTCATGCTGTTGATCACTGGATTGTCTGGCCCAGACTCGATTATTTACAGACCGCCGCCATATAGCTGGAATATTGCTGCGTAAAACTAAACTCACTCACTCACCCCGTGTGTACACTTGCAATAACAAACTCATTGAAGCACATGGTACCATGCAGTTTTGTATAAGTTTGTTGGGGTAATAATAGGATCTCATTCATTGTTGGGGTAATAATAGGATCTCATTCATTGTTGGGGTTATAATAGGATCTCATTCATTGTTGGGGTAATAATAGGATCTCATTCATTGTTGGGGTAATAATAGGATCTCAATCATTGTTGGGGTAATAATAGGATCTCATTGTTAATAATAGGGGTTATAATAGGATCTCATCATTGTTGGGGTAATAATAGGATCTCATTCATTGTTGGGGTAATAATAGGATCTCATTCATTGTTGGGGTAATAATAGGATCTCATTCATTGTTGGGGTAATAATAGGATCTCATTCATTGTTGGGGTAATAATAGGATCTCATTCATTGTTGGGGTAATAATAGGATCTCATTCATTGTTGGGGTAATAATAGGATCTCATTCATTGTTGGGGTAATAATAGGATCTCATTCATTGTTGGGGTAATAATAGGATCTCATTCATTGTTGGGGTAATAATAGGATCTCATTCATTGGATCTCATTCATTGTTGGGGTAATAATAGGATCTCATTCATTGTTGGGGTAATAATAGGATCTCATTCATTGTTGGGGTAATAATAGGATCCCATTCATTGTTGGGGTAATAATAGGATCTCATTCATTGTTTTATAATAGGATCTCATTCATTGTTTGGGTAATAATAGGATCTCATTCATTGTTGGGGTAATAATAGGATCTCATTCATTGTTGGGGTAATAATAGGATCTGATTCATTTTTGGATAGGTAATAATAGGATCTCACTTGTGAAAGAGGCATTCATGTTCCACTACGGACTACCAGTTCCTTATGCATTAGCTTATGTACCTATGGTGTAACCGGTGATAACAATGTCATAATTATTTATATTGATGGATAAACAGTTTGAATAGGTTATATCAAATACTTGTCAAAAAAACATGCGATCATATTCACCTGTGTAGAATTCAAAGGTAGTTAGTTGTTCATTTAAGTCCATGTAAGTTTTGGTTTTCACTCCTCTCACCTTAGCTAAGCCATATTTTATATTGATGCAAGGTCATTCCAGTCTTTTGTTTATGAGGCAAAAACAGTGAATGGACATCTTGTTGTATAAAAGTAATTATATACTGAACAAAAAAAGAAACCATGTTACTTTATGTCCCTAACATACCCATATGGAACAAAGTGGGTTGCAAGTGGATAAATCTGGTTTAGGGACGTGATGAGTGAGTGAGTGAGTGAGTTTAGTTTCCAGCTATATGGCTGTAAATAATCGAAGCAATATTCCAGCAATATCACGGGAACCGGGACACCAGAAATGGACTTCTTATCACAAGATAGTCGCTTGTGCCCATGTGGGGAATCGAACCGGGTTTGGTTTAGGGACGGATGAGTGAGTGAGAGTGAGTGAAGCTAAGTTTAGTTTTACGCGCTTTAACCAATATTCCAGCTAGGCTACCCTACGGAGGGGACACCAGAAATAGACTTAACACTTTGTGCCCATGTGGGGAATCGAACCCGGGTTTGTGATGAGCTTAAACTGAAACAGGATTGAGCTTACACTGAAACAGGTGTGCTTGGTGCACCCTCCAGTCAACAGGAGCGAGATGGGATCACTTTTTTATTTCACATGGACTTGTCATCTGTATTGGAGCTTGTTCAGTGCCATGTCAATACCTGCATTTTGCAGAAAATTCCATGTCAAAACAGCCGTGTGTGGAGTCGCACCGCCATGTTGGAACTGGAAGCCTGGACTATGAGCAGCCATGAGCAGCACCTGCTCCGGGACAACAACCGGTCATGATACCCGCTGCATTGAGGTTCCCACGAATTACGAGACGACGTGAGTGCACATTCCTGCAGAAAGCTCCCGAAGCCATTACATTATGGCCACTTAAATCGATCAACTTCTTCTACGTAACGCTGGGCACTCTTCCATTGCCAAATCAGTGTAAAATGTAATTCATCGCTAAACACAACCCTCTTCCATTGTCCCTGGTGCAATTGTGCCCAGAGTGGAGGTCCATAACAGTTTGCTGGTGTCACAATCAGCCCCAAGTCGGGTGCAAAAATGGGCAGCAAGGAAGCAACCGGTTTGTAAACGGTTCCAAGACCCCTAAACTGTGCGATACTGGTTGACAATGAGGTTGTAAAACAATTATGCAAATCACGTAGCTGAATTTGGTTGTTCTCAGCATCTTACGTCACGCATTGAGATGCTGTACCCATTTGATGCACAATTGATGCTAAGGTTGTGAATTGTCAACTGCTCTTCACAGCCAGTAGCATGCCATTTGTAAGGCATGGCATGATAATTGTTTATCTCTCACGGATAGTTAACATGTTGTGTGTGTTCGCCGTCCCACCACGATACCGCTCGTGAAATGAGCAGATGCGTCACGTCACCCATATTAACTACCTTGTACCAGCCATTTTCAAAATAATTCAATTCTTCAAATGTGAAGTTTCTTTACTGTTCATGAGGCTGCTGAGCTATTGATAAACAATACAAGTCCCATCATCATCATTATTTCTTTATTGCTGCATATGGTGATATCAGCATATATCCTCAGCTTGTACTGTGTACTGTGTGATACATGATTCTAAACGTTAGTGTTGTACATAACCAGCATGGCGAATATATAGGTGCACCTCAACACCAGCTACCATGTGACAATCTAGACTCTCCAAGTGTACCCCACATGCTAGACTCATGTCACCCTATAGGTCACCTCAACACCAGCTACCATGTGACAATCTAGACTCTCCAAGTGTACCCCACATGCTAGACTCATGTCACCCTATAGGTCACCTCAACACCAGCTACCATGTGACAATCCAGACGTGCGTCTTCACACAGGTGCACCTCAAAACTACCTAACTTGTCACTAAACTGTCAAATGGTTTAAACAACAAATTCGTAACAAATTCATAATGCATAATCCAATTAACTTTAAAAACTTTAAAAAGACAATTGCTCTTAAAAGCTATGTACATGAACAAATTATTGCATTTTCTGTATGTTTCAATATAGAGATAATATCCTCTGTAGCAGCGTTGTGGACTCCCTGGTAGGTGACACTCGCCTTCCTCTACTGGAGGCAGACTGAACACTTTGAGACAGCATCCTGACTCCTCCACAACCTCATCTAATTATCACACCCATCTTTACATCTTCAGTAAGTAGTATGGGTGTACATGTGAACTTTAAAATACATGCACCATGACACACTTTCTGCAGATCTATGTTCTTATAAATAATCCAAACTTAACCATTTAAAAATGTAATAAATTAACTTCATGGAATCCTTCAAAAGTACAAAAATCAATAAACAGATACCAGTTTTTGCTTTGACTGGAATGTGTAACTAGTCCAAGTTCACACTTGTTCCACCCTAACAAGAGTTACACTGTCTGCAGCTACGCAACTACAAAATATAATAGTGATTACCAACTGAGAAACTGAACAGTCCATCAGATTTAAGAACATGTTATTCTCCAGGAAGAAGGACAAGCAGCTTTTGAAATCCACTGCAACATGTTGATGGAGATGTGGAAAACCCCTAATCCTACACAATGTAGTTTGAGATTCACATCTCATCTGTTTGTTCATTTGGTTTATTACAGTTTGAACATATGAAAGAAATAGCACAAACAAGTCATGTTTATTACCCTTATACAAGCCAACCCAGCTGTCACAAAATATGGAACCTGCTTTTTTACTCAATCTAAGATCCAAGTGTATCTATTCTTTCCACCAGGTGAGGGTACAAGGACTTTGGTAACACACACAATGAATTAGGTTGGTGGGTACACTTCATTTATTAGCTGTCACTAGTTCTTAATCATATCTACTTTGGCCTGTTTCTGTAACTCTCCAACAAAAGCTTAGTCATCCATGATGGAGCTCCACACATGATAACTGTCAACATCAAAACATGATCAGTGATTTGTAACAAATGTCTCTGACTTGAGACCAATACAATGATATACTTAATCCTGTCATTTTGGTCCCCAAAATAAACAACAACGATCACAACCAATCAGTAAAACTGATCGCGAGGACGTGGCCCGTCACAACCAATTGGTAAAACTGACCATGACAATTGGATGGACCTCCACAAGAAGACATATACCAAGTCATGCCAGTTTGGCTTAAGACAAGTTCCTTAGGCAGATATTACTTAAAACATATTGACAATAACAATTGCAGCCTCACAAATCCTCGATCAGAAACAAAGCATTTTCAACCAGATGTTCCTTTGCTTTCATAACCTCCAAGAAGAATTTGTCTTTGCCAGATGTACTCAGCTCATTCCCTACCAGGGAAGGACGAGAAGCTGACCTTGTTCTTAGAAGGTAACGGTCGTTCCACCATGTGACCAAAACATATTGGGTACATATGACATACAGCAGTTAATAACCGAGTACACTGTATATACAGCTACATGCATAATAAGTACTGTATTCCTTTATATTTTTACACCAAAAAATATATTCTTAGGTATGAAAATACATGCCCAGCATAAATGACAATTCACTGAAAGTAAAATAAATCTGATTAATATGTACAGCAAAAGGCAACATGGTTTGCATACTCCAATCTACTGTCAGACTTGTATGAAGTAAAATATAATATGCATTCATTTATGATTGACAAAGAATTCCTGTGTCTTCCATCTTCAGAGTATCATTCTAAACTAGAAGCCAAATTCTTAAATGCACAATTGAAAGCCCAGTGTGTATGTATTGTTTGTATTATGGATGGTACATATATATGTATGTAGGTGCTGAGGTACAGGCAGTAATCTACAATATATACACAAAGGATCCATCCACAGACACCATTTCTGTATTCTCAAAGCCAATTGTAGGCACAAGTATCGCAATATCCTGTTATGCTCCCATTTCAACCAATATACTCCAGTTACACAAACAAATGTGCCACCAGACATTCTCCACTTAGACAATCCACACAGTGTAGCCTACATACTGACTGATACATGGACCAATGTGCCACCAGACTTCTCCACTCAGACACACAATCCACACAGTGTAGCCTACATACTGACTGATACATGGACCAATGTGCCACCAGACTTCTCCACTCAGACACACAATCCACAGTGTAGCCTACATACTGATACATGGACCAATGTGCCACCAGACATTCTCCACTCAGACAATCCACACAGTGTAGCCTACATACTGATACATGGACCAATGTGCCACCAGACATTCTCCACTCAGACACACAATCCACTCAGTGTAGCCTACATACTGATACATGGACCAATGTGCCACCAGACATTCTCCACTCAGACACACAATCCACACAGTGTAGCCTACATACTGATACATGGACCAATGTGCCACCAGACATTCTCCACTCAGACACACAATCCACACAGTGTAGCCTACATACTGATACATGGACCAATGTGCCACCAGACTTCTCCACTCAGACACACAATCCACTCAGTGTAGCCTACATACTGATACATGGACCAATGTGCCACCAGACTTCTCCACTCAGACACACAATCCACTCAGTGTAGCCTACATACTGATACATGGACCAATGTGCCACCAGACTTATAGACTAGTGAAACAAAGAAAACAAAAACTGTAATGTGGAGGGCAATAAAATAAATCTAGAAACAATATTTCAAAGCAATTGTTGCAAAATCATAGTGATGACGTATCTTCTATGCATTCTGACTGTTATTGAAATACATGGATACTGTAAATAAACAAATCATGCTCTATCATTATAGCATGTAGAATATTGCAAAATATGTACATCCTATTTTTTATACATGGGCATGCCAACCAGCCAACTCTAACTTCTGTACCACTTGGTGCATTAAGTACACCTCTGTATCATCTGGTCATCAGGTACATTCCTGTATGATCTAGTCATCAGGTACACTCCTGTATCTTCTAGTCATCAGGTACACTCCTGTATCATCTAGTCATCAGGTACACTCCTGTATCATCTAGTCATCAGGTACACTCCTGTATCATCTGGTCATCAGGTACATTCCTGTATCATCTAGTCATCAGGTACACTCCTGTATCATCTAGTCATCAGGTACACTCCTGTATCATCTAGTCATCAGGTACACTCCTGTATCATCTAGTCATCAGGTACACTCCTGTACCACCTGGTGCATCAGGTACTCTCCTGTATCATCTAGTCATCAGGTACACTCCTGTACCATCTAGTCATCAGGTACACTCCTGTACCACCTGGTGCATCAGGTACGCTCCTGTATCATCTAGTCATCAGGTACACCCCAGTATCATCTAGTCATCAGGTACACTCCTGTACCACCTGGTGCATCAGGTACACTCCTGTATCATCTAGTCATCAGGTACACTCCTGTATCATCTAGTCATCAGGTACACTCCTGTATCATCTAGTCATCAGGTACACTCCTGTATCATCTAGTCATTAGGTACACTCCTGTATCATCTAGTCATCAGGTACACTCCTGTACCATCTAGTCATCAGGTACACTCCTGTACCACCTGGTGCATCAGGTACACTCTTGTATCATCTAGTCATCAGGTACACTCCTGTATCATCTAGTCATCAGGTACACTCCTGTATCATCTAGTCATCAGGTACACTCCTGTATCATCTAGTCATTAGGTACACTCCTGTATCATCTAGTCATCAGGTACACTCCTGTATCATCTGGTGCATCAGATTAACCATACCATGTTTCCATTCAGGTAACTGATTCATCAGGTACACCAATGCAATGTACAGTATTTACAATACTGGTTATGACCACTCAAGCTCCAATGTTATTCTACAAAGTTTATAACAGGAACTTAAGAAACAGCCATGTTATTCTTTTAGAGATTTATGAACAAAGAATTGCAGTTTTTTTCTCTCTAATCCATCCAGATTTACTGCAGTTAAATTTGTGGACTTCTATATGCAACAGAGAAACATTACAAGTGACTAACTCCACCCTTACACCCAGAGATAAGGAACAATCCATGATTACATCATATACTATACCCATATGATCTGGTAGCCGGAGAAAGCTAGGACAAAGTCAGACCAGCCAAGCATGCTGCACCATTGACGGCAAATACAGGGATACCTAGGTGTCTTCTGATGTTATCTGATTACATACAGAGTGTGTGGAACATTATGAGGACTATAATTGATTGTGTAGAACTCAGTGTCTAAATGGTGATGATTAACAGCTGCAGTATTGTAACCTTGGGAAGGATCATGACCCTTGGATGCAGGGACTCTCCATCGGGGCAACAGTCGTTCAGGTACATAGACAACTTCCCAGTGAAGACACAGTTTCTCTCTGGGAGTTATCAAGATAGTTGAGTCAAACTGCAACAGTTAAACTTTGCTGAATTTCAGGCCAGCTGCAATAAATCAAGGAAAACACATTACTAACATACTCCAATGTTTAGTACGGTCAGCAGTCTGAATGATCGTTAATTGTGTTTATTTTGTAACTTTTAACTGTTAAACAAGCACGCAACATCATTGTATTATTACTTAAATAGAAACGAAACGTAAAAGCATACAGAACTACATACTTACACATATATAAGAGAAAATACAAAACTTCACTGACATAACACAAACAAAAAAGGTATGTGGTATCAAACATGCATTAAAGAATAACAACTAAAGTGAACTTCCAATTACAGATCAATACAAAACGTTTAATAGAGTGACAGAGTAAGAATGTTGGAGCTACATGCCCTGCTCTGCTAGCCAGTACACATGCCACAGTCAGCCAGAAGGGTTAGATGCTATGGACATTGTTGGCACCACTCTGGACACTCAATTCGTCAAGGTTAAGAGAGTATGGAACAATGTAGGAAACTTCACATTGCTAAACTACTCTCCTTGCAGGAAGAACTGAGTAAATATATTAGAAGTTAGCGGTATGAACACTAAAATCTGGCTACACAGCTTGCTTAATCATCGATAATAGTGACATTACACACTTGGTTATTGTACAGTTGATTAATTCATTACTGATACTGGTCATTGTTAAATATTAGATACACACAAGCACACATCTGCAGAACTCATTTAGTTACAAGAGACAAGCTCTTTACTGAAAAAGTCTAATGAAACAGAAAATATGAACTAAACCAGAGCACTGCAGATAAAACTGAACAGATGGATACAGAAAAGTATTCTGTTATTTATCCACCATCTGGACTGGGATAGGGATGAAGTGCTGGAGTTAAAGAGGACAGAGGATTAGCGGAGTGACACACAGGTATGAATGGCTACAGAGGATGGCCACATGATTTACCCTGCACTGACTGTGGTAATGCTCACGGCTTGCACACCAGGCTAAAACTTGCCCATGTATGCAATACCTTCATCGTTGCTGTAGCAGTTGGGGCAATGCAGCTTGTTGACACGGACCCGAACATCAGCACCTTCACTGCCGTTCCCCAGCGGCGTGTGACACACGCAGCATTTAAAACACTGCACATGGTACGACAGACCCAGGGACTCGATGATCATTGCTGCACCGAATCCTAAGTCAGGGAAAAGATACAAGAGTTGAGTGTCATGCTAACTCAGTGACTATTCAAGTAGTCCATGCATCTAGACCGACAAAATGAAAAAGACCTTCCAAAATAATCTGACTAGAGGATGGTAAACTAGACAAGATGACTAGATACCTATACTCATAATTGACACCTTGCACCAACTAAACCATTGATACCTTGAACCCTCTAAATGATTGACACCTTGAACCAACTAAACCATTGAAACCTTGAACCCTCTCAATGATTGACACCTTGAACCAACTAAACCATTGATACCTTGAACCCTCTTAAAGATCACATATACCCTCCGGGGTACAAATACATAAATCACTAACTGGCATCGTTATATATGAAACTCCGTCATTAAAACTACTCATTTCGACCTTTAATTGACTTAAATCGACCTTTTTGACAACAGTGCACAATTCCCACCCGCGAACGAAATTTCAACCAATCAGAGCGGCGCGTCTCTGTGACGTCATATGAGGAATAGCTTTGAGGGCCGATGCAAATTCATCTACATTTTAAGGGGTAAATTATCTTGTTTACAGGCTTGTATAAACCTGAAATCGTGACAATTGTTGTGGAAAATGAAAGCTATATGTTCTCACAATCTACTGTCATTTAATTTTGTCTCCTGCTTTGCCTAGTTTCTGAGTTACAACTTGTTTTCATAGACGATTCTGTCAAAATCGATTGGTGTCGTTAGGCCCTATTTGTATAATGACTGATCCAATTTGATCCCATTTCTGCGTTTTTTTACCTCGATATTTAATCATGTCATGTAAAAATATGTTTGTATTCTCAAAACAGTGTCGGCCCATAAGTTTTCACAAGCAATACAGCAATTAACACTCCCTTGTTGTAACCCGTATTAGGTAGTATAAACCTACACATGTTATTTGTCATCATTCACTTGATGGTCAGTTAATGAATTTATAACAGGTATAATTAGTGGTAACACACTTAGATTACCCGACAAAGGTTCCCATTTGGCATTTTCTTGTGTCTGGAGTAAATATTCAACATTATAAACATCGATCAAAGGATTAACTGATAACACACTGATTGATTAATTACTTTTATCTTACACAGCGGAATTGTCAAAAGGTAGTGTTTATGTATGTAGATTTACTAATCTATACTGAATACACTCTGCCGTGTCGGTGTCTGCGTAAAAACAACGTCCTTCTTTCAAAGGATTAACCGGCAGTACATTGATTGATTGCCCATTATTGGCTAACTAAATTACTGTTTTTAAAGAAAGGCGGACATTATGCCATGTGTGCTATCTTGGGTGACCAATGAGACTATACACCAATACCTGAAAAGATTTATCACTTTTTCGTATATTAAACTGTTAAAAGACACATCATTTGGAACAGTTTTGTGGATATTGATGGATACATTCCTCAAACAAGGTAATGGCCTGATATTGTTCCTATAACTTTAATCTGTTTTAATTTTAATATTTGCATTTTGTTTTTATTCATTTGTCGAGCATTCAACAGAATCATTGTTTTCGCCGCGAAGTATAATGAGACAGACAACATACACTAGGTGTGTGTGCGAATTATGATTCACATTGGCAAACTATAAAATGTCTAGATATTACAGTTCTGTTATAAATTCACTATAAGTATCAGCAGATCGCCTGCTTTTTATTTAGTTTCAAAATGCATACAAGTATGATAAAAACTAATTAGGATTATAAGCCAAATATAAAGACGCATTACTGACTAGTATCTACATACTGGTGAGTGCACGCTAACCACGAATGTAGCAAGAAATTTATCGTGGCAGTTTTGTGACTTCGACCCCCCACCTCGCCTCCGTGGAAGAAATCGTTATGTTATAAGTTGTGTCATGCAAAATCCATTTGGTTATGATTCCAATACATATTTAACTACGAGTAGAAAGTAGTTTTGATTTTGTAACTTGATGAAAACAAACTATAATCTCATTAATTCTAACAGACTTTACGATTTTCAAAAATGGCGGCGCCCTGTCGGGAACATCTGCCAGTCTGAGGATAAATGCTATTTAGGTTTGTTTCACCGAGTTACAAAATCAAAACTACTTTCTACTGGTAGTAAAATATGTATTTTATTGATGGCCAATTGGATTTTGCATGACATAGCGTATAACATAACAATTTCTCCTGGCAGCGAGGTGGGTGTCAATATAATACTACTTACAATATTATTGTTACTTCGACCACAATCTCACTTCCGAGGAACAAATCGTTATGTTACAAGTTGTGTCATGGAAAATCTTAATGATTGACACCTTGAACCAACTAAACCAGTGATACCTTGAACCCTCTTAATGATTGACACCTTGAACCAACTAAACCATTGATACCTTGAACCCTCTCAATGATTGACACCTTGAACCAACTAAACCATTGATACCTTGAACCCTCTCAATGACTGACACTTTGAACCAACTAAACCATTGATACCTTGAACCCTCTCAATGATTGACACCTTGCACCAACTTAACCATTGATACCTTGAACCCTCTTAATGATTGAAACCTTGAACCAACTGAACCATTGATACCTTGAACCCTCTTAATGATTGAAACCTTGAACCAACTGAACCATTGATACCTTGAACCCTCTTAATGACTGACACCTTGAACCAACTAAACCATTGATACCTTGAACCCTCTCAATCATTGACACCTTGAACCAATTGAACCATTGATACCTTGAACCCTCTTAATGACTGACACCTTGAACCAACTAAACCATTGATACCTTGAACCCTCTTAATGATTGACACCTTGAACCAACTAAACCACTGACACCTTGAACCAACTTTATGATGATATCCTGACACACGTTGAGGCTTTACACCTTCAACAATTCAATGTTTTTTACCTTGAACCTGCTGCTGAACGCTATCATTGACATAAATGTTCAGCTTTCTGACCACATACGGTAAATATTGTTTCATATCTTAATGTGTAAATTTTCTTTTCAAAATCAAACTATTTACAAAAACATGAAGCACAAACAGATCATGACACTGGTTACTGGTGCAGTAGGTCAAGGCGAGAAAAGCATATTGATCATTCAAGAAAAACAGATGTACCTAATTCCTGGTTACAGTGAGAGCACTGTTGTCTGCCACTCAGAGCTGTAGAGGAATCGGACTTCTGCGGGGGAGGTGGAGCTCGGCTCGATGGTGGTATCTGCATTTCTTGACCTTGTTGGTCCCTGTAACGTGGGCTGTTGTAGCCATATGATGTTGGCATGGTGTGTGACAATGATGGGCCTTGGTTAGGGTATTGATTGTAAGACCCGCCCAGATCCTGTGAGTAGTTGCTTCCAGTAGAACCACGGGCACCTGCAGTTTTCTGCAGCAGAGTCTGGCGAATAGCAGCTGGCATGCTTCCTTCAGAAGGATGTGGTTCAAAAGAGGTGTTTAAAATTGGAGACTGTCTCCTTTCCATAGATGGTTCACCTCTCCACCGATTATCTGTTGTGGGCTTGATGGGACCACTAAACTGTGTTTGTGGGGGTTGCCTGGTTTGAGATTTAGGATCCTGGTTGGCTAGTCTCCTCCTCTCTGCTTCCTCAAATAACCAATGTTCTTGTGGGGTAGAATATTGCTTTCTCATGATATCAGAATGTCTTGATGATGGAAAACTTCGGGTATTATGTTGCATATTTTGTTCACTGCCAATCCAATCATGTGATGATCTGAATTTTGGTTTGGGCACAGCATTGAGAGAACGCAATTGCTCCCTGGATGGAGTGGGACGTTTGATTGGCCCTGAGCCTGTGGGACTGTTTGGAGGAGTTGTATTTGGACGAGTCTGTAAAGGCGTTGGCTTCCTGTTCATGGCTAGCATATCTTCTCGTGAGAAGGTCGACTTGCCACTGACATCAGTTGCCATCTTGACATGGCCTTGCTGCCAAGGTTTGGGCTCGACCACCACAGTGGTGGAGTACTGAGGCGCTGTCTGGTTACGCATCTTCTCTGGGCGTTTCTGTGTGATTGTAGACTGATAGGAAGGGGAGGCCTCCCTCACCTGTGACACTGGTGCTTCGAATCGGATGACATCAGCAGCATGCTGCTCTGCAGAAGCCCTCATCAGCTGCAACTGCTCCTGCTCGTGGTGAAATCTCTCCTGCTCCTGTCTTAGATACTCCTCCTTTTGACGAAGCTGTTCCTGTAACCAAAATATTTAAAACTTCAAACATCTGCATTTCACTGGATATACCCTTATAAATGACTCATACCATTTGCTTCACTCTCCCTTAAAACGAGATACCATGGAAACATCCTGTGTAATGTTCCCCTTGGTCTATGTGAATCTTCTTACCTTAGCTTTTTGAATACTAGAGAAACAACTTCTAACTTGAGTTCTCTGCAACAACTGTTTGTACATGGAGCTCATCATTGGTACTGATGGAACCGGAATTTGATCTTTAGAATCTTCCCACAATGACTAGAACCATGAAATATGGAGCGGAACTAGTGTAATCTGATATGAACTTCTTCCATCTGTGCAACATTCTTTCCTGGTCCCTGGTAAAACCATTGGAGCCTTATGAAGGATATATCTTCAGTGTCCGTTGACATAATAATCTCCTCTAAGGACACAAATGACTGGGACGATGACCTAAAGTTTCCGGTCTCATCTTGTGCATCTTGATTGACTGTACTGCAAACATGCTGCAGTGTCCAGGGACAGACGAACATAAAGGGTTTAGGTCCCAGTCTCATACAATAAGATTACATATAGACCAGTTTTTCAAGTAAACCATGGATCATAATTAAGATGAAAAATAAATTTATTTAAGTGCCAACTTGGAAAAATATTCAGAACACATGATGCATAACAGGCTTAAAGTGGTAATCCAAAGATAACTTTGTGCACAAACTTTCTCATATTTGCAGGATGGCTTGAATTAGAAAAGACAGAAAATTTTCCCCAACCATCCCATTTTGCTAAAATAGAGAGAGTGACAGTGGCTGGTCACGTGGGAAGCCGATGTCCAAGCACAGTAGTGGGGTGCACTCAGGGTGAGATGTTTTACTGTTATTGGAGAATATAACACAGCATGTTTCCACTGTATCTTGCGTTATGGGAGAGAGAAACAAATAGCATGAGTCAGGATGAGGAAGAATCTAATCCTTATATACATCAGTATTTCCACTCAGCAAATCTGTCATCATCAGCTGCCTGATGGTTCAGAATATGCTCACCTCCTGCTCTCTAAGTAATGCTTCTTTCTCTCTGAATCTTCTGTCTTCCTCTTCTTCTCTCATCCTTTCTTCTTCTCTTATTTTCCTCCTTTCTTCCTCTCGAATTGCATCCACATCGACCAATGCTGCATAAATCATCACAAATATCAGTTACATGCATGGATTACTTCCTACTTCTAATCCCCACACAGTGAGGACAACAAACCCACCCTAACTTCACACGGTATGTGCTTTGTTTGATGAAGTCCTCAACAAATGCTAAACACAATAATATTTACCTCAAAATATAAAAGTGGCACTTTCTGTTTCAAAGTATTGCCATGAATGTACGTGTAAAAGTTCATAATTCACCTAGTTTCTTAACCTTTTCCATTGTAATGAATTTCTGACCAGGAATGCATGGTGCTAGCAGGCAAAACAAGTGGTGTATCTTACGTGGCTCGTATAGGGCTGCCTGCTGGGTGGGGTGGACATACATGTCCCCCGACAACCCTGGCTGGTTCATGTTCACCTGGAAGCTGTAGGTGGGCTGGGACCTGGAACAGGGAATGTACAAACATACTGCTGATACTTTTACACAGCTACATAATCTTAGTCATCTTAAGGTTTGTATAAATAGTCATAGCCCATAAGTTCAGTTGGAGTAACAATGCCCACGGCATGATATCAGATGGTTTAGATGGTTTCATTAGTCCAATATTCCTCCAATACTGTTTTATCTTGGAAATACACAACCACAAGCAAAGCTGCAATGCACTATGGTGGCGTGTGGTCCTGTGCATAGAGCTCAGGTCACAAATCAGGTGAAGTTAAGCAACCTTGGACGCGGGGAGTCCTTGGATGGGTGACCATGTTTGGCAGCTTGACTTATGCAAGTTTCTAGGGCTTCAGTCCTGCCCCACAATGAAGCACATGCGAAAAAATGTGGTCTCACTTTAGACAAGTGAGTTTGTTCAAAATTGCCTCTGTACACCAAGCAGAATATGGATAGGTCATATGACTATAACCAGCTAGCGCCTAACAGGCAGCTTGGCTTATCCGTGGTTATAATGTGCTGTGCTATTCATTGTTAGCCCTATACCTTGTGTGGAGTTTGGCTCTATATAAATGGACACATTATTATTATTATTCCTTGCCATTACTGGTCCCATGATTTGGATAAGACACTCACTCTTCATCACCTCTGTTCCTAGGGTCAATCACTAAAACACCTGGATGACCTTGACCCTGGGATTGACCTTGACTTTGTATTTGGAATGACATGGTTGACCTAGTTTTTTCAGCAGGCACTGAGTCAGGAGTGTTGCTGTTCTGCTCATAGAGCTGCATGGTGTCCCCGGCATGTCGGGCTTCGTACTCTGGACCTGTCTCTGCTGCTGACTGCTGCAGGTGCTGTTGCCGTAGCCTGCGTTCCTGTCGCCGCTCCTCTGTCACTCGCATCCGCCGCATCTCTGGCTCTAACATCTGCTGCTCCTGGAACACAAACAAGAGGTTAACTCAGACTGGAATAAACGAGACAACAGAGTCCAAGGCCAACAAGTTGTCTGGTTTCACTAGAGACATGTCCACGTTGTTTAAAGTAAGTCATGCAGGATTTCCATTACATTAGAATGTGTCAAATAATTTGCAAGACAAACTGTAAGTGAAATATTTACAGGAGTGATAGTACCAGTTGGCATAGGTACCTGTTCTTCTCGTTGCTGAGCGATCTCCTGGGCTCGTCTGATGTCACTCTCATATTCCTGCCGCAGGAGAGTCTGAGAGGCAGTAAACATCTCCTGAAGGAAAGCACATCACCATGGCACCAGGAGGATAGTATCAATACATCTCTGCCCCTAAAATCCTTCCCTTCACAACCAGCAGTGGTCACATTTATTTTGAATAGTAACAAAATACTATTTCGGTATTAAGCCATTCTTCAGCATCATGCTATCAATTCCTGGCACATACAGTGTGGTCCCCTGGGCCCATCTCCTCACAGACAATTAACTCATTGTACTTGGGAACCCTTGCCTAACTGGGACCTTACACATAAGGGATTTATCAGTTCCATATCCAGAACATTAAAGATTGACCAGCATATATTCATAGTTTCATATTTATTAATGCTTGTATATATTTTGACTTTATGTGGTCAAATGTACAAGAGTTTACCTTTGGGACTTCCACCTCCCTCTGTTTGGAGTCAGGTTGCTGCAAAACAACAGGAGGTTAGTACAAACTCATTCCCGCAAGCCAGCCATTAGTAAAGACAACAGTCATCACAGTGCTACAACTGGCTAGTAACTCCAAACCTGGACCAACAGACTCAATGTTCTGTTGTATTTGTCAGTATTCATATTACACCAATAGGATCACAGTGCCACCCAGGTCAGAGTTCACAGCAGACAAATTAACAACAAGTTTGCATTGACCATTTAACCAGAACGAACGTCTTGTGTTCTGACTACTGTGAACAACTGCCTACAGTCAACATCCCGGTGGGCTACCAGCCAAGGGAAGTAACCCAACCTGCTACATGCACACATCAGGTCAGGTGTGGGGTTAGCTTGCAATGGTGACAAAGACTAAAATCAAGGCTACTGCAAACATGTGCATGCTTGAAACACAACAACATGGGGATGAGGGTAGGCGACTTTAGGGTCAATACACAAGTTCCAAGGAATACCTGTGGAACACTTTACTGGAAACAGCGACAATGACCACAAATGCTCTCACTAGTTGATTTGTATGCTTTCTGAGGGTATCGGGGTTTTTTGTTGGGTCAAGAAAGTGGGGAGAATAATGATATCAATGCCATAAGCTTTGGCACTTTGATGAGGCCAAATTTTGAACTTGCTATCTTTTGCCCAATCATCTACTGACATATTTATGTCAAGTTGACTATCATATTTTATAAATGATATTTTTTTTTAAAATGCAATGTGTAGTCCTCTCAAAATATGTTTGTCTGTACATATACAGTGTCTTGGCAGGAAACAAATATGAATAACTTTTGATATTTTTTTCCATTTTGAAGCATATAGGGTTGGCAAAATGGCTATCCAACAAGTAAAGAAATAATGGCCTGATTTTCAAACAATTAATGCAGGAATTCAACACATCATGCAAAGGAAGGATCAACCCAAGTGTCATGTATGTCCTACCTGTCTCAGGTCTTCCTGCATCTGACTCCACTCTTCTTGCTTTCTCTGGTCTTCAAATCGTCGCCGTGGTGATGGGACCGGTGGTTCTGGCTGTGAGGATGCAAAGTCCCTGGCTGTTCTCTCTAGAACCAGATCGTCCTTGGGTCTGGTATCATCTGCCGCCAACTTGCTGTCCATCCATGGCAGTGTTGAGCTGAGACGCTTGTCAGGTGACTTCTCTCTCTCAAAGGTATACTCTGACTGTGGTCTCTGTCTCTGCCACTTCCTCAAGATGGCTGGTGGACCAACATCATCTGTCCCAGAACCATCAGGTCCTGCCTGGCTTCGTCTCTCCACCTCGTACCCAGTATCAGCTGTCAAGGAAAAGCAACATCAGTACCTCATTCTTCTTGGCCAAATAGCACAAATACCACAACACTCCATTCTTGACAGAGCAATCCCTGAAATGAACCATACCTGATAGAATGCTAAACATAAAATGTTCTTTGAAAAAACCTGAAAAACTTTAACTGTCATATTCAAACACAAATAGCCCAGTTGTCAGTTACAAAGTCTTAGCCTTTGTCCATCAACATACTGTAAAACGTAACACTATATATTCATCGGGTTAAATGTAAGGAAAATTACAATTTTGTAATGTGGCATTTAATATGGCAAAAGGTAAAGTTATGCAATTATGGTGTTGCCATGGCTGTGGATTCAGTCCACATAAAAATATGTTATATGCTTATAGAAATCCAAGAATTAATAGTCACAATAAACATGTGTGGAAAGATGAGCTAAGTTGTTTCCCAGCTGTGAGTGCTTTTGCACCATGTATGGTTTACCCAACAACTGGTTAGAATTGCTGACAGCAAAGAGGACATCTGATGAATATCTAAAGGTACATTTACACTTCAAGTATACAAGTTCCATGAAATTCAGACCTCACAAGATCTCTGATCTACAGTTTGGTACTCCTTATATTACCTCTGGACTCATTATATTACCCACATGGTGTAAAATTAAAGGCAAGTTTGAAAAGCCAAAAGTTGTGAACATTGTCCAAGTTTCTGTTTGGCTAAAAAAAAACATCCAAAATGTAGCCATATTCAATTCTATGTTGATAAAGTGCCGCAAAGACAAAAGTTATATTTCAAAGTTCAATATAAGGTAAAAGAAATAATGTGAAACATTTTAAATGAAAAGTTACTTGTGTTGTGTGGCAAAAAGAAATTTTCCACCTTGACCACAAAATACCAATGAGAGGTTAACATGTAGACAAAGGGGCATAACTCTGCTTTGCTTCACTGTAAACAACTCCGTCATCTCTGCGGTGAGCGAGTACCATGACTCATGACAATACAATCTACTATATTCTTGTTCATGTGTACCAACCAGTGAAGGGTTAGAATGAACCTCCAGTAACCCATGCTTGTCATGAGAGGCGACTAACTGGATCGGGTGGTCAGGCTCGCTGGCTTGGTTGACACATGTCATCGTATCCCAATTGCGCAGATCGATGCTCATGCTGTTGATCACTGGATTGTCTGGTCCAGACTGGATTATTTACAGACAGCCGCCATACAGCTGGAATATTGCTGAGTGCGGCATAAAACTAAATTCAATCTCTCACTTACTTATGTGTACCAAAAATGTTCCCCAACAGTTATCCACACATAAAACTAGGCTTTCACATCCTTCCTTTCCCGGACACTGACTGAATGTCAATCAAAATATCTGAAATATACTTCAACTTTGGTAAATAGTAACGAAGAATGTTTCATAAAACACATCCTAATGTATAGAAAACGGTATAACAACTAACAACAATTCATATTTCTTGGCATTGAAATTTTGATTAAAAGAAGAAAATGTTCTTTTGACCCACCCTGATCCCATCACCCCTCCCCCGACTCCCCAAACAAAAGCAGATCACGACCCACCATACCTAAGTAAACAAAAGTAGATCACGATCGACACCAAACCACCCAAACAAAAGCATATCACAACCCACCCCAACCCACACCCAAACACAAGCAGATCACTTAACCACCCCGACCCACCAACACACACCTAAACAAACACAAAGCAGATCACGAACCACCCCCACCCGCCAACACACACCCAAACACAAGCAGATCACGAACCACCACACCCACCTACACACACAAAACACAAGCAGATCACGAAACCACCCCACCCACCAACACACATCCAAACACAAGCAGATCATGAACCAACCCGACCCACCAACACACACCCAAACACAAGCAGATCATGACCCACCCACGACCCACCAACACACACCCAAAACACAAGCAGATCATGAACCACCCCGACCCACCAACACACACCCAAACACAAGCAGATCATGACCCACACTCCACCTTACCCACCAACACACACCCAAACACAAGCAGATCATGAACCACCCCCAACCAATACCACAAAAACCAAACACAAGCAGATCATGAACCACCCCGACCCAACACACACCCAAACACAAGCAGATCATGACCCACCAACACACACCCAAACACAAGCAGATCACGATCAATATCGACCCACCAACACACACCCAAACACAAGCAGATCATGATCAATATCGACCCACCAACACACACCCAAACACAAGCAGATCATGAACCACCCCGACCCACCAACACACACCCAAACACAAGCAGATCACAATCAATATCGACCCACCAACACACACCCAAACACAAGCAGATCACGATCAATATCGACCCACCAACACACACCCAAACACAAGCAGATCATGACCCACCCCGACCCACCAACACACACCCAAACACAAGCAGATCACGATCAACATCGACCCACCAACACACACCCAAACACAAGCAGATCATGAACCACCCGACCCACCAACACACACCCAAACACAAGCAGATCACGATCAACATCGACCCACCAACACACACCCAAACACAAGCAGATCATGAACCACCCCGACCCACCAACACACACCCAAACACAAGCAGATCACGATCCACATCGACCCACCAATACCCATCTCAAATGGCGTAGGAATCTACAAAAAGTGACATCATGCAATAAAGAAGATGTTATGGATCCATAAAGTTGTGTGGTTCGTTAAACACTTAAAAGTTCAATAATGTGGCCTTATTTCAACATATGTCCATGTTTTGACTTGCTTACCTGCTGCTGCTGGCTTGGTGTCCGTCGCTGTGTTTCCACTCCCCTGCACCCCCCTCTCTCGTCTCATGGTGATGGTTGGTCGCGTCAGGACCTCCTTGTCTGTTCGGTGGCTGGTGTATGGCTCAGCGGCCAGCTGACTTGGGCTGGGGGACTCCTGATGGATGGGTTCAAAACTCTCAGACTCCTAAGAAACACAATACTCTATCTTGAAAATTTATACAGTATTATTCTGAAATGTCTTTGCTCAATGGCAGCAATCTGTGATCATTTCCACAAGCTTAGCTTCAAAGCAAAACTGACTGAAGCAAAACTGAACTATTGCTAGAAAATAATTTTGTCACATATGAAACATTTCACTGACATATGCTTACTGCATTTAAATTAAATCTCTCTGAATACTACAACAATAAAATATTTGTAAAGGGTCAAAGGGCATAGAAGTGGAAGTGACATGATGTAGAGATGACAGCATTATTTATCTGATGGGTTACCTCATCTTAATAGAACATGTCTAATGTATAGACATGTATAGTCTTTATCAATAAGCCTTGACAGATAGGGGGGTCAGATGTCACTGACCCCCCCTTTCTCCACCTTGAACAGGTGTCTGGCTCCTCAACCTCCCCCATGTTTGGATGTCTTGCCCCCCTATCTCCACCTTGAACAGGTGTCTGGCTCCTCAACCTCCCCCATGTTTAGATGTCTGGCCCCCCAATCTCCACCTTGAACAGGTGTCTGGCTCCGCAATCTCCCCATGTTGAGATATCTGTCTTCTTCATCTCCACCTTGAACAGGTGTCTGCCCCCTCTATCTCCCCCATGATTAGATATTAGTTCCCTCTGTCTACATCTTGTACATCTTGTACATCTGACCCCTATCTATCTCCACCTACAAGTATCTGCCTACCTTGTACACATGGTGTCTATCTGCTGGATCCTGCACCTCCTCCTGCTGTGAAGGCTGTCCATAGTCCAGCTGGTCCATGATCCACTGTCTCTCCTCATCCAGAGCACTGGCCACTGGGTTACTGTTCACTGCTGCACGGAAATCTTCCTGCAACATACAAATCAATCATGTTCAAGCTAATGAGACAAATCGGGGGTTCTGGGCATTTCTGAAAATGATGACAGATAGGCAAAAGGCTGACCTTGTAACCAAGTACATGCAATATGGGCATAGTGGTGACAAGAAGAATCTGGTGAGCGTTGATGATATTGAGTGAGGGAGTGAGTTGGGTTTTACGCTGCTTTTAGCAATACACCATCAATATCACAGCATAGGGTCACCACAAATGGGCTTCACTTGATAGTACCGGTTTACCTGAGATGTGGTGGAGTCTCTGCTGTCATAGGAAGTGTGTCCCTCAAGACTGGGGTCCTCTCTGTGGACTGCACGACTCGCTGATCGCTCCATTGACTCAAACTCATCATCACTAGATAAACATTCATCTTCATCATCTGAAACAGTAAAGGCAGTGATAAAAAACATTAGACATTTTTTGTATCGAGGGTTCATAAAACACATAATGAATCAAGACCAAGTATCTACCAGACGGTGTATTCTACCCAGCTACTTTGTCACGTTTTGCAACCATACAATGAAATTGAATACTTCTGGAGCACTTCTTTAACACTTCTATACTGAAAACAGATGCATTTGGTCATGGAACATGTGGACACCTTGCTGCATACATACCATTAATCCCCAGGAAGCGCTTGACCCTGAGCTCCAGCTGGCCTGACTTGACCGCATCTTGAATCAGCTTGGAAACCTCCTCATTGGTCCTGCTGGAAATATCACATTTGTTGATGGCCAGGATCTCATCTCTGGCCATAACCTCACAAACATCCGCAGCACTTCCTGTAAGGGAGACAATCCACACTGTTAGTACATTTCTGCACAGTGACTAGTTGTCTGCAGGTAGGTATACATAGCAAGGAACACATTTACGGAAAGATGGAGGTTATTAGAGACATTACAAGATCACATCACTTCTACCTGACAGATAAACATCCTCTACTGCACTAGCCCTTATGTGTTCTTCCTGTACAGTTCCAGGTTACAAGATAATTACAGCATACAGTCACACCCTGCTGTGTCCAAGCTGAAGGCACCTATATACATACTTCATGTTATCCAAGGTTCGATAATACCATAACATGACAAGTAAATATGCAATATGCAGGGACTAAGGTTTTACTTTAAGATAAGCATATGGTTGACACATCAAAGTTTGACAACAGTGTTTGACTGTACCTCCAACTACTGAAGAATGTAACTGTATCATGAGCCATGACTATAATGGTTGCTGTATAGAAGCAGGACAATTCAAACACACAACACATCATAGCACTATAGAGAACTTCACTGGCACAGCTAGACTAACAACTAGTCTCTGAAGTGAACATATTTTACTGAAAACAGTTCATAGTAAAAAAAAAATATATAATGAAAAGGAGCCCTGAGACTTTCTTCATTTTCAGAAGCTGAGTAAATCTAGACTTGCCACATTTTCTAGACTTGCGTGGCCTTTCTAGGATATATTTGCTTCAGGGTCTGTATGACAGACTATGGCACAGCAAACAAGGAGCAATGAACAATGCTGTGTTCCCTGACGGGGTGGGAAGGGGGCGTGGCGGAACTGTCATGTACTTTGTTGTAGTTGCTGCTGACAGTACATCTGATATACCAACATGTCAACATGTTTACATGGGAGAGTCACTTGCAGCCATTAATGTTGTTCTCATATATACATCAGGGAGAATTATAGACTATACCAAGTTGTTAAAATTATGAGTAAGAAAGTATCTTTTGTTACATATTTATACTGTAATAACGTCAATAGATTCTACCCTAGGAAGTAGAATTTAATGATGATCAACTGGCCGACGTGAGAGATTGTATTGACCTCTGAAGGTTAAGTATGTCAGTGTGAGAAACAAACATGTCCGTGTGCATCAGTATGAACATCTACAGTTAGTACTTGAGTCAAAGAACAAAGAAGTGCTGAAAACATTTCACTTTGTGATGGAAACATGTTAGAACTGTGCATATACCAGTCAGGATTCTACATTCAGATACCACAGGGCATTTCTGAAAACAGGTATTATTCATAAAGTGTTGCTAAACGGAATGAAAGTCGTGAGTGGAGTACCCTCTGCCAACATGCCTTGCTGATGGGTACAGAAGTGCTCATTCGTTTCTGTGGTTTCACGTGGTATTTTTGTATAGTAAGCAAGGAAGCAGAACTGAAGGTGACCATTCAGTTCATGTGATCTGATGAAGAGCAAATGTGTCCCTCAGCTCACAGACAGGTGACATGGTGTTAAATAGTACATGAATCTACGCTAAGTTTAATCAGATACTGTGAGCAAGTACACCTGAGCAAGTACACATGAGCAAGTACACCTGAGCAAGTGCACCTGAGCAAGTGCACCTGAGCAAGTACACCTGAACAAGCAAGTACACCTGAGCAAGTACACCTGAGCAAGTACACCTGAGCAAGTACACCTGAGCAAGTGCACCTGAGGAAGTGCACCTGAGCAAGTACACCTGAACAAGTGCACCTGAGGAAGTACACCTGAGCAAGTACACCTGAGCAAGTACACCTGAACAAGTGCACCTGAGGAAGTACACCTGAGCAAGTACACCTGAGCAAGTGCACCTGAGCAAGTGCACCTGAGCAAGTACACCTGAACAAGTGCACCTGAGCAAGTACACCTGAGCAAGTACACCTGAGCAAGTACACCTGAACAAGTGCACCTGAGCAAGTACACCTGAGCAAGTGCACCTGAACAAGTACACCTGAGCAAGTACACCTGAGCAAGTGCACCTGAACAAGTGCACCTGAGGAAGTACACCTGAACAAGTACACCTGAACAAGTACACCTGAGCAAGTACACCTGAGCAAGTACACCTGAGCAAGTACACCTGAGGAAGTACACCTGAGCAAGTACACCTGAACAAGTACACCTGAACAAGTACACCTGAGCAAGTGCACCTGAGGAAGTGCACCTGAGCAAGTACACCTGAGCAAGTGCACCTGACACCTGACAAGTAAGAACAAGTACACCTGAGCAAGTACACCTGTACACCTGAGCAAGTGCACCTGAGGAAGTACACCTGAACAAGTACACCTGAGGAAGTACACCTGAACAAGTACACCTGAACAAGTACACCTGAACAAGTACACCTGAGCAAGTGCACCTGAGGAAGTACACCTGAGCAAGTACACCTGAACAAGTACACCTGAGGAAGTACACCTCATCCAATCCCCTACCTGACATGAGTTGGATGTAACTTTCTGGTGGCAAGAGAAACTAAGAGACCACAAATTCAATCAATTTTCACAAAAGGACGGAGATAACCAAAATTATCATGTTTAATAAGGTTATCATAATAACTTTCAAATCATTTTGTTTAGTTGTATTTAAGTCAATCATTATTTCTACATTCCTTTCTTTGCCTGTCGTATGTTGTTGTTCTTGACAACTTATATTCTGAATAGTCTGCAACTGACTTCCAACCAACAGAGTCAGTGTCTTCGGGACAACTGAGGTTGAGTGAGTGAGTGAAGTTAGTTTTACGCCACTTTTAGCAATATTCCAGCAATATCATGGCGGGGGACACCAGAAATGTGCTTCACGTATTGTAGACATGTGGGGAATCGAACCTGGGTCTTCAGTGTGACGAGCGAATGCTTTAACCACTAGGCTACCCTACCGCCCCAGAACAGTTGAGAACTAAGGACACAAAGGTCCTCATGTGTGCTTCAGTATCATCTAATGCCCATGATGACCTTTGTTTAGTATGCCTGACATTTGTGTGCATGTTCATTGCAATACATCAGTAGACAGAGCATAGTATGCTGCTGGCTGGATGCTGCTCAAGTGCTTGGACTACATCACATTTCAAAACACAGTGAGTTTAATGCCTTGATGTCAACACCTATTTTCAGCTCAAAGATGACAGAATAATCTCAGAATGATTCTTCTATGTGGGAACAAATATTAAGGAAAACATCCTACCAATTTTGGTACAGCAGTGTCTGAGATGATATTCTAATTATGACCATCTACACAAAGTTTCTGCTTGAACACTGTAATATTGTTAAAGCTGTCATTTGCGTTCTGATTAGCCGATTTGGTAATATGTTACTGCTTTCATTTCCAAATGACTAAAAAATTAGTACATTTGAATCATGATAAAGTTATTAAGCCTGGTATTAATACTATTTTTCAGTATCAAACACGCCAACAAGACAATACCTCCATCTTCCACAATCACTGCACAAATGCCTTATTTCAATCAGATTTCAATTCAACTCACATTTTCACAACTGTATTTTCTAGCTTGCAAAAAGCAAATGTTGGAGTCTGGTGGTAGCATTTATCAATGTCATCATATTTGTCTTTATTTATTTTGATAATTGTTTTCTATAGATTATTGTTGACTACAAATTGTCAAATTTAACGATAAACCCTTTTTTGAAATGAAAGATATGGATGTATCAGGAAAATGGTTACTATTTTCTTTTGTTATCTGACTTGAAAAAAGTGAATATTCTTTTCAAAATCATAACTGTATTGAACTATCAGTCACTGGATACGTAACACCATTTGAACAAAATTCTGGTAATTTGCCTGGACATTTGACGTCTGAACTCCTGTCTGTGACTAGGACGCAATCTGGGACCCAATAATGTGTAATGTAGTGTTAGAAGAAGAATGCAAGTTGGAAAACTTCAGAAGGTTCATAGGTGAGCAACAGAAAATTGCAACTGCACACATTTTACTAATACGATATGATACACACCTGGGCCACTATCTGTGGAAATGAACAGAACACTAAATCCATTTACTGATTCGAGAGCTGTAGTCAGGCAACAAAGTAATGCATAAATATTTGATCTAACAAACTATGTGTCAATAGGGCTAAGTATGAGACCTCTATTGAACAGAATGGAATTTGATGTTCATCATCATCATCATCATCATCATCATCATCATCCATGAACATTTGTTGGCTAGATAGTCAATGGGTGTAGCAGACATGAGGCTGTGCATGCAGCAATGTAGCTGCATCTGCAATAGTGTAGCTGTATCTGCAATAGTGTAGCCGTATCTGCAATAGTGTACCAGTATCTACAATAGTGTACCAGTATCTGCAATAGTGTACCAGTATCTACAATAGTGAAGCTGTATCTGCAATAGTGTAGCTGTATCTGCAATAGTGTACCAGTATCTACAATAGTGTACCAGTATCTACAATAGTGTAGCTGTATCTGCAATAGTGTAGCTGTATCTGCAATAGTGTAGCTGTATCTGCAATAGTGTATCCGTATCTGCAATAGTGTAGCTGTATCTACAATAGTGTAGCTGTATCTGCAATAGTGTAGCTGTATCTGCAATAGTGTAGCTGTATCTGCAATAGTGTAGCTGTATCTGCAATAGTGTACCAGTATCTGCAATTGTGTAGCTGTATCTACAATAGTGTAGCTGTATCTACAATAGTGTAGCTGTATCTGCAATAGTGTAGCTGTATCTCAGTATCTACAATAGTGTAGCTGTATCTGCAATAGTGTACCAGTATATGCAATAGTGTACCAGTATCTGCAATAGTGTATCTGTGTCTGCAATAGTGTACCAGGATCTGCAATAGTGTAGCTGTATCTGCAATAGTGTATCTGTATCTGCAATAGTGTACCAGTATCTGCAATAGTGTATCTCTATCTGCAATAGTGTAGCTGTATCTGCAATAGTGTACCAGTATCTGCAATAGTGTACCAGTATCTGCAATAGTGTATCTGTATCTGCAATAGTGTACCACTATCTGCAATAGTGTAGCTGTATATGCAATAGTAGCTGTAGCTGCAATCTGTAGCTGTATCTGTGTAGCTGTATCTGCAATAGTGTATCTGTATCTGCAATAGTGTACCAGTATCTGCAATAGTGTATCTCTATCTGCAATAGTGTACCAGTATCTGCTATAGTGTATCTGTATCTGCAATAGTGTAGCTGTATCTGCAATAGTGTAGCTGTATCTGCAATAGTGTAGCTGTATCTGCAATAGTGTAGCTGTATCTGCAATAGTGTACCAGTATCTGCAATAGTGTATATGTATCTGCTATAGTGTAGCTGTATCTGCTATAGAGTATCTGTATCTGCAATCTGCAATACCAGTATCTCTGCAATAGTGTACCAGTATCTGCAATAGTGTATCTGTATCTGCAATAGTGTACCACTATCTGCAATAGTGTAGCTGTATCTGCAATAGTGTAGCTGTATCTGCAATAGTGTAGCAGTATCTGCAATAGTGTAGCTGTATCTGCAATAGTGTAGCTGTATCTGCAATAGTGTAGCTACCAGTATCTGCAATAGTGTAGCTGTATCTGCAATAGTGTAGCCATCTAGTGTATCTGCAATAGTGTAGCTGTATCTGCAATAGTGTATCCATCCGCAATAGTGTACCAGTATCTGCAATAGTGTACCTGTATCTGCAATAGTGTAGCAGTATTTGCAATAGTGTAGCCAGTATCTGCAATAGTGTAGCTAGCTGCATCTGCAATAGTGTACCAGTATCTGCAATAGTGTAGCTGTATCTGCAATAGTGTACCAGTATCTGCAATAGTGTAGCTGTAGTGTATCTGTATCTGCAATAGTGTAGCAGTATCTGCAATAATAGTGTAGTTGTATCTCCGCAATAGTGTACCAGTTTTTGCAATAGCGCACTAGCATTTGCAATAGTGTACCAGTTTCTACAATAGCCGCTGTATCTGACTGAGTGTAGCTGTATCTGCAATAGTGTAGCAGTATCCAGCAATAGTGTAGTGTAGCTGTATCAGTGAAATAGTGTAGCTGCTGTATCTGCAATAGTGTAGCTGTATCTGCAAATAGTGTAGCTGTATCTGCAATAGTGTGTACCGCAGTAGCGTTTTGCATCTGCAATAGCGTACCAGTTTTTGCAATAGTGTACCAGTATTTGCAATAGTGTACCAGTATCTACAATAGTGTAGCTGTATCTGAAATAGTGTAGCTGTATCTGCAATAGTGTAGCTGTATCTGCAATAGTGTAGCTGTATCTGCAATAGTGTAGCAGTATCTGCAATAGTGTAGTTGTATCTGCAATAGTGTACCAGTTTTTGCAATAGCGTACCAGTTTTGCAATAGCGTACCAGTATTTGCAATAGTGTACCAGTATCTTACAATAGTGTAGCTGTATCTGCAATAGTGTAGCTGTATCTGCAATAGTGTAGCTGTATCTGCAATAGTGTAGCTGTATCTGCAATAGTGTAGCTGTATCTACAATAGTGTAGCTGTATCTGCAATAGTGTAGCTGTATCTCAGTATCTCCAATAGTGTAGCTGTATCTGCAATAGGGTTGCTGTATCTGCAATAGTGTAGCAGTATCTGCAATAGTGTATCTGTATTTGCAATAGTGAACAGCTGTATCTGCAATAGTGTACCAGTATCTGCAATAGTGTAGCAGTATCTGCAATAGTGTACCAGTATTTGCAATAGTGAACCACTATCCGCAATAGTGTAGCTGTATCTGCAATAGTGTAGCAGTATCTGCAATAGTGTAGCAGTATCTGCAATAGTGTAGCAGTATCTGCAATAGTGTAACTGTATCTGCAATAGTGTAACTGTATCTGCAATAATGTAGCAGTATCTACAATAGTGTAGCTGTATCTACAATAATGTAGCTGTATCTACAATAGTGTAACTGTATCTGCAATAATGTAGCTGTATCTATCTATCATACCAAATTTCACAACAATACTTCCAGACGTGGCTGAAAACCTATTCAATAAGAAAGCACTGGGACCATAAATGAAATCCCAGCAAATACAGCAATTTCTGGATATACCACTGCATACATGATATGTGCGAGGTAGCACCTGAAGAAAATACCATCAAGTACAGCAATGTCTGGATATACAACTGCATACATGATATGTGCGAGGTAGCACCAGAAGAAAATACCATCAAGTACAGCCACAAGTGTCTGTTGCTTGCCTCACATTTTTCTGGAATATCATTTTAGATCTTGACAAAATGATGTCAAAAAGGCAGGAGCTCCTGTACAACAAATAACATCGCTGCATGTATACATGAAATTACATGTAGTCTGATGGATAACGGACCCATCAGAAAGACAAAATGTCACAAAGCATGCAACGATGTAAAGTGTCCTGAGGTATACCAGACAAAGCATCGCACTTTTTTCTTTTCTAAATACACATAAAAAACACTTAGTAATTGGAACAAGTGATATATTCAGTCATGAAGCTATGGCTGCCATGTTTGAAACTAAACCAGAATTCTATGAGCAAATCTATAAGATATCATCAGTGTGATAATAGTCACAAAATGTAAGCTTAATGACCAAATAACAGATTCCATAAATGTCACAAACGCTATAGAACTAGACAATATGAGTATGTAAAGGTCAAAGGGTGTAGCTTGTGTAGCGGCCATAAAATTTCCGAGTCCCATGCTGGGATTCCAACCACGGACCTTCTAATCCGACTGACTGACTGACTGACTGAGTTTGGTTTTACGCCGCTTTTAGCAATATTCCAGCAACATCACGGCAGGGGACAGCAGAAATGGGCTTCACACATTGTACCCATGTGGGGATTCGAACCCGGGACTTCGGCGTGACGAGCCAACGCTTTAACCATTAGGCTACCCCACCGCCCCCTTCTAATCCGGAGTTGGACGCCTTGTCCACATGACCAAAGAGGTTAACCCCGTCAGCAAGCTGACAAGGTAAGGATGTCATCTGTGGGATGACTCCACGCCCTGCTACATAGTCCCCCGTCAACAGAAGGCACGTCCCGAGCCGCATAGTTGGGTACTGAGACTTATTTTGCTCAAATTTGATATGAACGTGCTCAGCCCCACGTTGGGCGCCAATGAAGGGGCCATAAGTCCCGTCCTGGGATTCGAACCACGGACCTTCTGATCAGAAGTCGGATGCCTTTTCCACATGACTAAAGAGGTTAACCCAGTCAGGAAGCTGACAAGGTAAGGATGGCATCTGTGGGATGACTCCACACCCTGCTACACTTGGAAAATAACATTGAGGGGTTTCAGGCTGTGGCTTACAAAACATCTAAAAGATAAATGGTTTATGTTGGATGGTCAGACAAAGAATAACTGGCAAATCTCATACCATTAGCTCATTGCCCTTAACAGTTCAGGTAAGCTAAAATACACTCAAGGAATGCATTCAGACTATCTTTTGAGCATACCACACAATTACTGCATGTAATATTTCACAGTAATACAACTAAAACTTCTCCAGCAATAGGCACTGCTGGCATTTTTAATGAAAGTTGATGTGACATGAGTAATCTTTAAAGATATCATTGTTGGGACCATCTGTGGGGGGCAATGGTATAGGTCTTGAAGAAGAGTTGTGTAAACTGATCAAGAGCAAGTGCCAGTTCACAAGGTCACAAGGTACACACAAGGTCATCACCATCTTCAAGAGCACTACTGAGGAGCATCACAGCTATCCTCTGTCAAAGTGATCTGGGTGCCCATGACAACTTCCACATTTTGTGTGCGACAAAATAGCGGCACTGTCCATGTTGCTATTGCAGTCATATCTAAACTCAGATTGGATCCTCTTAAAAAACATTCAGGTGTCATCATTGGTGTCAAACAAGCATGTGAAGGTTCAGCCTCATTGGTCAAGTGGTTTCAGAGCCATGACATAAGCCTGCTTGACTTTAACTCATGTGAGCTGGAACACACACAGGTCGCCCTAACCTCATGGTACTTACCTAGCGTGATCTTCTGCACAGTAACTGGCTGTTGGGTATCTACTCCTCCACATATTGTAAATCCAAAACCTTTTTCACTATTTGGTTTCTGACTAATTTTGATATTTTTCTCTGTATAGTCCTGCAAAACAAAAAATGTCATGATAATTCACAATTTAATAATCAAAAGGCAACACAGAAGAATTTATGTCTTGAACACTGAATTACAAATCCAAGTCATTGATTTGAGTGAACGGGGGATTTAAAAGTGTTCCCATTATATTACAGCGTGCCATGTTAAAGGACAGGTTGAAGCCCACTGGGTAACAAGTTTGAGAATATGAAGATGACAATGACATTCTTCCCTGCGGACTGAGGTCGGATGTTATTCTCTACTTGCAGGAGAAAGCTCACACACTCACAAATTGCGATATAAGTGCAACAACTTTTAACGCCATGTTCAACCCCATTTGGTGTTGACACACGTGTTAGAATTGTAGAGACAAAACTCAGTTAAAGAGCAGTAAATCCACCTGAAGTCATCTGTCCTGCTGTGTTGTCTAAGGGACTTCAACTTTGCCCCTGTAATCTTGGCTTGTTTAGCATCAGCTTGTTAGCAATACCAATAACAAAGAAAATGAAAGAATGCGGTTTTCCTGTACTGCAGGGAACAACTGACCTTATCTCAATCCAAGTATTTGCTACAGCTATGAATTAATTGTCCCTGTAACTTCCCAAAACCACTCTTCCATAATACTCACCATTCGGTCAATACAAGGTCACAATCATACTCACCATTCAGACAATACAAGGTCACAAACATACTGACCACTCAGACAATACAAGGTCACAAACATACAATTCAAATCACAATCATACTCACCATTCACTCAATACAAGGTCACAATCATACTCACCATTCAGACAATACAAGGTCACAATCATACTCACTATATAGACAATACAAGGTCACAATCACACTGACCACTCAGACAATACAAAGTCACAATCATTATCACCATTCACACAATACAAGGTCACAATATCATACTCACCATTCACACAATACAAGGTCACAATATCATACTCACCATTCAGACTACACAAGGTCACAATCACACTGACCACTCAGACAATACAAGGTCACAATCATACTCACCATTCAGACAATACAAGGTCACAATATCATACTCACCATTCAGACTATACACGGTCACAATCACACGGACCACTCAGACTATACAAGGTCACAATCATACTCACCATTCACACAATACAAGGTCACAATCACACTGACCACTCAGACAATACAAGGTCACAATCATACTCACCATACAGACTTTATATGGACACAATATCATACTCACCATTCAGACAATACAAGGTCACAATATCATACTCACCATTCACACAATACAAGGTCACAATCATACAGATCGTTCAGACAATATCAAGTCAAGTCCACAGAACGTCTTATAAAATGCACACATGAAACTGTAACATTTTGTAGAAGTAGCCAAACATGTGATTATTATGGCATGCCGCACAATTATAACAATATTTTGTCCACCAAAATTAACTGGCCAAAAAAAGTTAAAACAATTTCGAACATTCTGATTCGTCCATTGGATTCTGTTGTTTTGCAGGTTTCCATCATGATACTGACGGGATCTACCAAGGCATAGAAACTTGTAGGTCTCGCTCTACAAAATCTTCAACTTGGTTCTTCTTTGTGTTTTGATGTCAGCCACCATCACTGTGTTGTCTGGGGACATATTGATCCACATTATGAGTGATAACAGGTCCTTCCAGAAATCATGTACACTGTAGATTGCAATCATGTTGAGGCAACTGACAGCCCCTCTGGTGGTTGCCAGAAATCTTGTGTTTTCTTATATTGTCCGTATGAGCTCCACAATCAAAGCATCATGGTAAACATTCAAATGTTGGAATTACCGGTGGATTGCACATCATGTCTTTCTCTCAGCATGTCCATCTAGAGAAATCATTGAATGGCATTGGAGTCAAAGGAGGGATGGTGTATCTCCAAACCTGAATCGTGAGCCTTGTAGCAGCATCTACCAATAGAGTGTTGCTGGACCATTTTGCCACATCTGCGATCCTGTGTAGCTGGAATCTGGTGTTGCTATAAAGATAGACTGAGCTGTATCCAATGTGAGCAGGTAAAGCGTGTGACATAAAGATAAACTGAGCTGTAACCCAAGTGAGCAGGTAAAGCGTGTGACATAAAGATAGACTGAGCTGTAACCCAAGTGAGCAGGTAAAGTGTGTGACATAAAGATAGACTGAGCTGTAACCCAAGTGAGCAGGTAAACCGCGAATGCTGTCATCGTCATACTTATTGTGCCTCAGGTCCGTAGGGCCATGCTAGGTGGCCGTATTCCGATGCCTTGGTATGGAGGCCAAGTGAAGTAGTTCTTAAACTCATATATAATGAGAACAAAAGGTTGAGATCCAGTTCAACTTTTATTCAGTATATACAAGGAAGTAATAACGCGAATGCGGAACCGTCCCTCATCTGCGTTGTTTGGCCGATGTAAGCTGCTGAGCCAGAACAAGAGGTCCGAACTGGTGTAGTCCGTGACAGAAAACTCTCGCAGGTAATGTGAAGAGAAGACTGTATCAGAATGCCAGAAGCAACCTTCCATGATAGCAGTCAAGGAGCAGTTGCTATGGAAGGCCATCGTCGAGGCTAGTGCACGAGTCTCATGAGGATTGGAGGCGGCAGGAGGAGGCAACCCTGCAATGGTGTAGGCTCGCAGGATCGTGGCACGCATCCAGAAGGCCAATGTGGTCCGGGAAACCTCAGTTCTTGAAGCGTTCGACAAGGGTATGAAGAGGCGCTTCCATACCAAGAATGGTGGACAACGGGGGAATGGTAAACATCCGGTCCGGTTGCCCTGGCTTCCATCAGGCCCAAGAATGGTGGACAACGGGGGAATGGTAAACATCCGGTCCGGTTGCCCTGGCAGTTGGTTTTTCGCAATGAAGTCCCAGCGGAGACCCTGGAAAGCCTTTTCACGCTTCTTCCACTCGAACCGCACCCGATTGACATCAAGCGCATGCAATTCAGATATATGAGCAGCGGTAGCCAAAGCCACCAAGAAGAATGTCTTGAATGTCACTTGTTCGAAGTCCTTGTCTTCTAAAGGTTCATAGTCTGTAGAAATCATATGACGAAGGACGATAGACAGATACCAGGCCGGAGGTCTGAACTTCAGAGAGTCTATAGGAGAGTAGTAGACTCTGCAACTCGGGAACAGTGGAAATCTTCGTGCCCGTGGTGGTAGCCAAAACCGAGTTAATAGCGGCTAAGTAGGTAGCTAACGAAGTACCCTTGATTTTCTTAGTAGTGCGGAGATGCTAGAGAAACTCAGCAACGACCTGAGCCGAGGTGGAAGTGGGAGATGCTATTCCCCTAAGCTTGCAATAGTCTTCAAACTTCTTCCACTTGTTGTTGTACAAGGAACAGGTCGAAGAACAATGCGCTGAATCGATAGCTGTGGGTACTCTGCGAGAGTAGCCCTTAGCTATGAGAGACCCTGAAGATGCGCCAAACGTGTGATTGAGGGTCTGAGGTGACCCATGGCGCAGTTCTGAGTGAGAGTGAAGAAGTAGGTCGTCCCGGTTGGGAAGAGGTACTGGGTTTGGCTCTGCCAGGCTTCTTAGGTTGACGAACCAACTTCTCGCTGGCCAGAAGGGTGCGACCAAAAGCAGTAGTATGTTGCTGGTGGCCAATAGTTTCTGTATTACTGTTGGTAGCAGAGCTGGAGGGGGGAACGCGTAGGCATTGAGACCCTCCAATGAATTGTCTGATTGGATCAACAGACTGGTTGATTGAAGCTCTGTTGCCCAATGTGAGATGGCTTGAATTACCGCCTTGAATTGCAGCTCATTTATATGAAGTACCCGTTCGTCGGATGACCACAGCCCGGCCACTTGGTGATCGAGGAAGTGAGCTCCCCAACCCATGAGGGATACATCGACGAATAGGTGATGAGTCGGTGCAAAGGGCATCATAGAGACTCTGGCGCACCATTGAAGAGCCACCATTGAAGGACTGGACGAAGCGGATCTGGAAGGCAAATTAGTTCCTTGGGGTTGACGGCCTGAAGGTACGGGCGTAGAAATCGCTGTATCGGCCGAAGTTGGAGCTGGCCTCTGTACGTTAAGACTTCAGCTGACGTCAGAAGGCCCAGTAGCTCCTGCCACTGTCATAAGGTTCTCGTCTGAGATAGTGCTGGAGGAATGCATTGGTGAATCTTTATCCACCTGTCGTGAGGTACGAACATCATTCCCTGACGAGTGTCGAACAGTGCTCCGATGAATTGGAGTTTCTGAGTCGGTATTTGTTCTGATTTCGCGATGTTCAACAGCCACCCTAACTGTCTGAGCAGCGTGGTGGTGAACTGTAGCTGGCGAAGCAATACGATCGGATCCTGTTGAGCCTGGATGCAATCGTCTATGTAGCTTTCGGAGGTGATCCCTTGAAAGTGGAGGAAGCTCGTTATGGGCTTGGTAATTCGTGTAAAAAGACACGGGGCCCTGGAAATTCCAAATGGTAGGACTTTCCATTGGTAGTGATTCTCGTTGAACACGAAGCGAAGGTACTTCCAGGTGTTCTGGATGTATTGGTACGTGAAGATAAGCATCCTGAAGATCTAGGCTGATGAGGAAGTCTCCCTTCTTCAGGATTGTGCGTAAAAGGTTGATCGACACCATCCTGAAGTGAGGCGGTGGAAGCAGGAATCGTGCATTGAACAACTTCATATTGAAGATGAGCCAGAGTTTGTTGGAATTTTTCTTTGGAACCAAGAAGATGGGGGAGTAGAATCCTGGAGTGACGGGCGATGGACCTAAGAGCTCTATCGCGAGTCTAATAGCGTACCTATTGTGGATTGCAGAGTCTGAAGCTGGTCCACAGGATATGAGCGATGAGCCGGATGCAACGTCAGAGGTGGACTGCCAATAAGGGGTACCTGATAGCCGTGAAGTGGCAGGTTGGTGACATACGGTGACGACGGATGGTCCAATTCAGGGTGAAGATCTGCAATCTCCCGCCTACCAGAGTGTTGTAAATCGGAACGACTGGGAGCGGGAGGTCCCAGTCATGCGATTGTCTCAGGCCGTCACTGCTTACCAGCGCTGGTCCCTGGGCAAGAGTTGGTCCTGGGGGGGGCAACGGGAGGAACCACCACGGCCAGATCTGTTTCCTCTGCCATAACTTTGAGTGGATGCACCACAAAAAAGATTGCGTAAATCGGATTGGTAGGGGTGAACTGTGCAGTTCGACGCTGTTTTAATGAGTCCTGGAGCTGTGACTTCTGTATCTTTAACAGTTCCATCAAGACTTGAAAGTGGGTTTCTTTATCAACTTTATTAGATACTTCTTGGATGCTACCATTGAAGAGGGAGTCAGTAAGCCATGGCTGGCAAAACAGTTCTGTTTTAATTCCTTCTACCTACGAATTAAGGACAGATTCTCTGCTCCCAGATATAATCCTTCTATCTCTCATGTCCATGGCCTAACAAAAATCTCTACGGCTCCAACAGTTGATGAGGATATTGGAACCCTGTGTGGCAAACGAGCTGCGTCGCCCTACCTTATTGAGGACCAAGAGTTGGCTCACATGGATTCACCCATAAGAGACTGTAGGCCTATTAGTGGTATCAGAGCAATGATCACCCTAACGCCGGTCAGAGGAACTGTATCGAGATCTCGACGTGGTAAGTACCGAAGTAGGTTGGTAAGCCGGTGATCTGGATTCCCTAGTATGGCTAGGTGATCCGGTATGATATGAAGAACTAGTCCGGGTCGCTGTCGTTCTAGTTGTTGATCTGGTTCTGATTGGAGCTCTGGTTCGACCATCTGAATAGGATCGGCCATGAGATGTGGATCTGTACTGTGATCCCGATTGGTCAATGGCTCTGTAAGGTGATCTAGATCGTATAGGTGACCTGGGTTGGTAAGATGTGGATCGTGAAGGTAATCTAGATCATAGTGGTGATCTAAAATGATGTGGCGATCTGGATCGGGGATTAGGTGACGAAACCTTAAGTGTTGATTCATGATGAACGTCCCCCATGGGGAGACAGTTGCCTGGTTGAACGCAGTTGGCCAGGCTCCACACAAACTGAGACAGTAGAGGGGATATGTACCGTTGATCTGGAAGATGATAGTGTCGATCTAAGGTCCCCTGGTAGTGTAGATGGGACAGGCAACGAAGAATTATCGATCACAACCAGCCGCAGGTGACGCTATGGAAGGAGGTGATTGATGCGTACGTAATAGGTGCCGAACGTCCTCAGATAAGTAAGAATCTGATGAAGCGTCCATAAAATCCTCTTGAACCACAGATCGCTCTCTTGCGTGAAGGTACGATTTTCTGTCGCTGTAACTTCATACGCTTGGCGGGAGTGGGATCAGATTCTGTTGATTTCCTGTCCCTATCGGCAATTCTCCGGGCCTTAAAATCCTCATCTTTTAGTGAATTACACTTGCCACATCGTTCGTTCCAGTTACATTGTCCAATACAGTCACTGCAAGACGAGTGAGGGTCGAGGGACGAATAATTCGTCTTGCATTGAGCACAAACTTTCCTGTTCCTTGACTGATTATCAGTTTTCCCCATGATGTTAGGGTGAAATAATGTCCCTAATATACAGCACGTCCACACAGTCGTGCGACAAGAAAGAGAATGATCATTCAAGGTAGTCACGTGGGCAATTAGTGGAGCATGCTGCAAGCTTTATTAGGAACTAGAAAGCTAATTAAGGAGAGCAGCATGGAGTGCACGGGCAAATGGACAAGGAGGCCTATGGAAAAAAGTTTACAGTCGTTCCACTAAAAGTCGAAGCAAGAGAGAGAGGTGCAAGTCGTGAGATAGGATAAGTTTAAAAATATGACTTGTATCTAATTTACGATAAAAAAGTGGAAGAAAATGTGTTTAGTTTATTTTGCTAACTCTCTTTACACACTGGCCACACTTTCAGACTAATCTCACCAGACTGGCCACACTTTCAGACTAATCTCACCAGACTGGCCACACATTCAGACTAATCTCACCAGACTGGTCACACATTCAGACTAATATCATCAGACTGGCCACACTTTCAGACTAATCTCACCAGACTGGCCACACTTTCAGACTAATCTCACCAGACTGGCCACACATTCAGACTAATCTCATCAGACTGGCCACACATTCAGACTAATCTCATCAGACTGGCCACACTTTCAGACTAATCTCATCAGACTGGCCACACATTCAGACTAATCTCACCAGACTGGCCACACTTTCAGACTAATCTCACCAGACTGGCCACACATTGACTAATCTCACCAGACTGGCCACACATTCAGACTAATCTCAAGACCTTTTACTCATACACATTCACCACATGTCGTTACTTCAACGTGACAATTCACTGATGTTAAATACCAGCAGCATCTGTTGACAATCGACAACAAGACACACGATGACTGGGTACGATAACACGCAAACAAACAAGTAACTGAGCCAACCAATTCAAACTCAATGTCGTTGTATCTGAAACATATGTCCTATGTTTAATGACGGGATTTGGACCACCATCATTCCACTTCTAAGTGAAGTCACACACTTTATTCACATGTCCATTGAACTAACTAATTTGCATCCGGTGCATTGACTGTAACAATAAAGTTATCAAACACAAATGTAAACTCACCCGGCCCGATTTCCGTAAGCTTCCATACACATTTTTGTAGTGGTGGTCGATGTATGTCCATAAATCCGTTTTGGGACTCCACTGCCGTTATCCATGGCAGCTCTTTCACCACCATTTTCATAACTCCGTGAAAATTTAGTCTCCATGGTAGAAGCACTTTCACTCACATTACTTTGCCCAAATCGAGAATCACCCCCAACATTGCCAACAGATCTCCTGTGAAAGCTGTTCTCACTGTCTGATATCCTTGAGGAGTGCACTGGTTCTGGATAATTATCTCTGTCTAAACTTTCAAATGATTCTAGACGAGATTTCACATCCACTTTGTATCAACTGTGGAAGATCGAGATTTTGGCTGTTGTTCGCTTTGTTCAAACCTGTGTCTGATATCATTGATTTTGTTGGATCTGGGTGTAGATTCCAGGTTATTGCGTGAATTCTGTTTTGAAACACTTTCCCTAACTTCCCAATCTCTGTTATCTGGTAAAAACTGGCTCTCCATGGACTGCCTGTTACTGGGACTTGGTTTACTTATGGGAGACGTTTCAGGCACATCAAAAGGATCCTCAAGCATTCCATTCTTATTGTCCACGGACTGATTGTTGTTATTGTCTTCACTGGCATCTTCATTGTCCTTTGCCCAGTCAGGCACTGTGGAACTATACTGCAATCCCTGGAAACAGAAAATATTGGCAAAAATATGAATCAACAAATCAAATCAAATCAAATATGCGAATTTTTACTCACAATTTGACTCCCTATTTCAGTATGCTAGTTTTGGTGCACTCACTATTGTAGCACTGTCACTGGTGGTGAAGGCAGAATCCTGTCGTGTGCTCACATCACTCTCATCTTCATTCTCTTCTACAGGGTAGAAACTTCTTACATTCGAACTCTTACGCCGCTCTCTGCAAAATCAAGTAGTATAAAATGAAACCTTTCATTTGTACTACTCAAACATCAATCATCTGGCATAATAATTGACAAAACAGACCTTGAATTACTGCTGCACCTGACAGAAAGCTTTAGTCAAGACTCCCAAATTTACACATTCTTCCAAAATAGCAACACACAAGTGATGTTGATGCATGACATTTCAAATATTTTTCAAAATTAGTGTTTGCTTCTTATAACTTTGTCATTAATGTGTACATGGAACGAATGCACAATGCAGAAACTTTAATGCACGTTTACGTTCGAAGGTGTCAACTTGCATGAAAATGTCATGGAGAAAAAGTGGTTCATGCCATAATATGCACTGCGCAGTTCTGAGGAATCATGGGCAGTGACATTGGCAATATTTGGCTGTTTTGCTTTTGGACAATCATTGGCATTTTGCAGCTAAATGAAAACATATAGTTATGCCGCGACTCACTGCTGTAAATCGGAACATTGCAATTGGATGTCTGGAGGCTGGGGAGTCTCAACCTGCCAGTGCACGTCACCTCAGTGTTCACCAGAGTAATATCAGTCATTTATGGGACCGATATCAACAAACCAATTCTACGCATGATCAGCCAGCGCAGGATAGGTACATTCAGGTACATTCAGGTAAATCATGTGCGGAGTCGAACTGTCACAGCAGCTGCAACTGCAAGTGCAGTGCCCGGTTTAAGGAGAGTGTCGGCGCAAACCATTATGAGAAGCTGGACTTGGACATACATCCTTCTTGTGACACCTGACAGGAAGGTTTGGTCTAGACACCCAACACACATCCTTCTTGTGACACCTGACAGGAAGGTTTGGTCTTGACACCCAACACACATCCTTCTAGTGACACCTGACAGGAAGGTTTGGTCTAGACACCCAACATACATCCTTCTTGTGACACCTGACAGGAAGGTTTGGTCTACACACCCAACACACATCCTTCTTGTGACGACTGACAGGAAGATTTGGTCTTGACACCCAACATACATCCTTCTTGTGACACCTGACAGGAAGGTTTGGTCTACACACCCAACACACATCCTTCTTGTGACGACTGACAGGAAGGTTTGGTCTGGACACCCAACATACATCCTTCTTGTGACACCTGACAGGAAGGTTTGGTCTAGACACCCAACATACATCCTTCTTGTGACACCTGACAGGAAGGTTAGGTCTAGACACCCAACACACATCCTTCTAGTGACACCTGACAGGAAGGTTTGGTCTAGACACCCAACATACATCCTTCTTGTGACACCTGACAGGAAGGTTTGGTCTAGACACCCAACACACATCCTTCTTGTGACACCTGACAGGAAGGTTTGGTCTAGACACCCAACATACATCCTTCTTGTGACACCTGACAGGAAGGTTTGGTCTAGACACCCAACACACATCCTTCTTGTGACACCTGACAGGAAGGTTTGGTCTAGACACCCAACACACATCCTTCTTGTGACACCTGACAGGAAGGTTTGGTCTAGACACCCAACATACATCCTTCTTGTGACACCTGACAGGAAGGTTTGGTTTGGTCTAGACACCCAACACACATCCCTTCTTGTGACACCTGACAGGAAGGTTTGGTCTAGACACCCAACATACATCCTTCTTGTGACACCTGACAGGAAGGTTTGGTCTAGACACCCAACAGACACCCAACATACATCCTTCTTGTGACACCTGACAGGAAGGTTTGGTCTAGACACCCACCAACATACATCCTTCTTGTGACACCTGACAGGAAGGTTTGGTCTAGACACCCAACATACAACATGACATCCTTCTTCTTGTGACACCTGACAGGAAGGTTTGGTCTAGACACCCAACATACATCCTTCTTGTGACACCTGACAGGAAGGTTTGGTCTAGACACCCAACATACATCCTTCTTGTGACACCTGACAGGAAGGTTTGGTCTAGACACCCAACATACATCCTTCTTGTGACACCTGACAGGAAGGTTTGGTCTAGACACCCAACATACATCCTTCTTGTGACACCTGACAGGAAGGTTTGGTCTAGACACCCAACATACATCCTTCTTGTGACACCTGACAGGAAGGGAAGGTTTGGTCTAGACACCCAACATACATCCTTCTTGTGTGACACCTGACAGGAAGATTTGGTCTAGACACCCAACATCATCCTTCTTGTGAGACACTAGACACCCAACATACATCCTTCTAGTGACACCTGACAGGAAGGTTTGGTCTAGACACCCAACATACATCCTTCTTGTGACACCTGACAGGAAGGTTTGGTCTAGACACCCAACACACATCCTTCTAGTGACACCTGACAGGAAGGTTTGGTCTTGACACCAACTGTGACTCACCTCTCTTGCTGAATCTGGCTGAAGGTCTTTGTCTGTAGAGTTGTCTTCACCTCCCCTTCCTTGTCCTTAGTGAGTTCCTCCAGGTCCTCCTTCATCTGATATGCCTGATGGGACTGGCTCTTCCTGCGGGTCTTCCAGCTGCTTAGGTTCTGTAATCATCAAAGTCATGGCTCTACATCACCAAGGCTAACAAATCAATCACAGGCACACTTTCAACAAATACTTTTAAAAACAATTTATGAAACACTGAGGCACCAAAACAAAAAATAGAAAACTGCTGTACAATCCTCAATCATAGTTATCAGAAAGTTATTTTAGCACTAATTTTTAGTATCATGCAACACTCATACTAAAACACATTCCTTTCTGTGAGTCACTCAAGTTACACTTACTGACTGCCAGTCATCTTCTTCCTTGTCAACAACCACAGGAATCTTGTACTCCTTCTGAGTGGCAGCGACCTTCATTTGCTCCTCTGCTTTCTTGGCCAAGTCTGTCGGTTTCTGCTTGACAAACTGCAGTGGATCAGCGGTGGAAGAGCTTGTCCGGCGGTGGGGCCTGGTGGGATAGTTCTCAGTGCTCCCTGATGACTGCCGTGAGTGGCTGCCATGGTAGGATCCATCTAGACTGTCATTGGATGAGGACCTTCTGTGGTATGACCCTTGTGACAGATCAGGGCTACTTCGGTACATGCTGTTTTGTCGGTCATCTGAATACATGCCTTCACCCGTCTTGTTGAGCGCAGACTGGCTTCCATAGCGCACTGGCATGTTGTCAAACACTTGTTCATCTAGGCTATCTTCAGAACCTTTTTCATAGGATTCATAAGAACTGTCTCTATGATGGCGGTTTTCTTGTTCTTGTCTATTCCCACGAGAATTTCCTTCATGAGACCCGTAGTACTGCAATATTCATTAGACTCCCATGAACAAGAAGAGTCCCGTCTGAAATGATCATCCAATATAATGTCCTTGGAGTGATGATGCACCAGAGGTGCAAAGGCAGTGAAGTCTAGATGTGGTCCTTGGAATGACTGGTTTACAACTTTGCCTAGCCAGTATACAGTGATAGCAACCTGCAAGATACATAGGAACACAGTTACTATTATTTCATCTTTATTCAACACTACAGAGTTGTACCTTCTGGAAGTAACATTACACATGTAACACAACTTGATCCTCAGCAAGTCAAGTGTTTATGGCTTTATCAACCCTGTGAATTTAAAGAGAAAGGATAGCAGCTATGTATGAATTAGATCAGAATTCTGAGACGAACACTACAGATTGGTACTTTCTTGCAAACTTTTAACTATATTTGTGGAAGTCATTGTGGTTTCTAACAAAGGAGTAAACATTTGCTACAAAGAAAAGAAACATAATTTTGCTTTCACTTTGAGGCAAGTGAATTCACTGTTCCTGACACATCAAGTGCATATATGATAAGTATCTTGTAGTTTTTACAGATAGCATCTGTAAGGGAAATACCACACCCTCTGGTACAACCATAGCCCAAACAGTGTACGCCAGACACGAGCCCATGCTCACTCACACCCACAAATTCCCTCATTAACTTGTCTGTTTGTGTGAGAGTATATCCAGGAATAAACCCATCTACTATCCCCTACGTCATCTGCCATCCACCCAATAGTCCAGCTCCCACCTGTAACAAGCATGGATACTGAGTGGCCACCTCGCCCTGGTGAAACACGTCCGGCATGTGACAGTGAGCCAACCCACACTCATCAGGTCCATGTATGATATGGGCGGAGAAGAAACAACAGCTAGTGACCCAGTCACATACAGAACAGTCGCATACCGGTACTTTCTGAAATCTGACATTGAGCACATACACCCGAGATAATGAAATACCAAGCATTGTAACGAGACTGTAAACTAATCAGAGCCCATCACAGTCCACAACAACAAGTTGTGTCCATGATGCTAAGCGTGAATACCCTTCAGACGCACCTCCTCATCACCACAAAAGCAAGGTACATGGATGTACGAATGAACACTCTCACCTGCTGCACACCACGGACAAGAAGCAATGTCTATACACGGCAGCCAGCCTTCACTTCCCTATTTACTCTGGGCATGGTTTCAGCAATGTGTGCCACATGTCCCGTCCTTCAACACTTGCAGTCACCCCATACACCAGCCCCCAACAAACTCTCACCGTCCTGCATACCTCCATAAGGATACTCTTCACATCGCAATATTGGACGTTCTCCGTGTACAACAACGTCAGTGTGAACACAAATATCTCCACTACCTTCCAGCAAAATACTTTAAAATGTTACAAAACTATATCAAAATATTCATCAAATAGTTATTAAACATGAATATTTTCAAATCTACACAATGAATATTATGTGGCTTATGAAATCAACAAAGAAAGATTTGTGTATTGGAAAATGTTGCCAACAGTACCCCAAAGAGGATCTCAATAGACACAATGGGATGTGACTCCACTGAGGGCAAACATCACACAGCATTGCAGCTTGCACATACAAACAACTTTAGCTTAAAATCTACAAAAATCTACAAAAATATCTAACATCAACCGAATATTTGTCGCTCCCCTAAAATACCAGTTTACCAGCTACCCCCATGTGTTTGCAAGTAGCTAGCAGCAGTGAAAACATGACAAACCATATTTTGCAGGGAGAGTGAATTTTGTCAATTATTGTTGTGGCCATTGTGATTCTAACCAGATGTACCAACATTGCACAGAGGCACACCGATCGCTGGCAAAACAGCCAGCAAACAAGGTTGTGCCAAGACAAGCTAGTCAAAAAACTTCCACATTTAAATGGTTCAAGTTTGCACCTTGCGAACTCCATATTTGAATTCCTGTTTGATCATCATTGCCAGTGTTTGACAGCTGTGACAACCTGACATTCCTGGCTGAAGAGGGTGGTTACAGTCATACAAGACTTACATCACTAAAAGCATTTCAAACACATCAGCCAATATACAAATTACAAATCTACATATTTCCTGATTAATGAAGTTTTCTTTTAAACACTTAGTAAGGTGAAGATGAGTTATTTAGCTTTTTCTTGTGCATGTGTTTTGTGTCCATTTAAAAGCTGGCATGGATGACTTTATCCATTTCAAGATAGTTCAGAATTATTATGACTGAAATAGTTAGGGCATGTGTCACATGCATATGGCTCTCTAAATTGTGAGCAACCTTGTAATCAACTCCAACTTTGACTGAATCAGCAATGGTACCTCTCAGAGTAGCTTGTCAGTCTGTCATCCTAGCAAGACCCATTATGGCTATTGAACAGAACAATTTGAGCCATGCAGCAATCATGTACCTGAGCTAGCAGCACTGAAGCAAATCACTGTCCACCTCCGATATCTGTCCTCAGCTGGCTGCTGGTAGGCTATCACTGCTGGTTACTAGGTCACTATGATCTGCAGGGACTGACCTCACTCATAGCGCTTATCACACTCAATAATACACAGGTATGCTAGAAATTTAATTTCTCTTTCTCCTTACCCGCCTTGTCCCTCACAGAAACCTCTGTTGGAAGTTTAAACAGGATGACTCACCCTCACCATATATTTCACGTACAAGGCTTGCACATCGCACAATCAAGAGACATTGCTAGGAGTGATCTCATGTTGACAATGCAGTGCCCACACCTCTTGCAGTATATCACCTGTGTGGGTTGTGTGTACCTAGTGTGAGCACATACTGCTTGTAAGAATCGACATAGTACATGGCTGCTACCCGAGAAAAGCCATGTAAATAAACTTAACATGGTAGTAAAAGTAGAACATGTACATATCATACTGTAATTACTTGTGTTAAGCATTTGGGTAGTCATCATGGTCAATGTAACTGGAATACCCAGTTGGTCTGCTCCGGCCTGAAATGTGGGTGTGGCCATAGATGATATTAATGAACACAGTGACTGTATACTGACTGACTGACTGAGTTTGGTTTTACGCCGCTTTTAGTAATATTCCAGCAACATCACGACGGGGGACACTAGAAATGGGCACAGTGACTGTATAAGTAAACACCACCTTTCATATACAGGCAAACAATATTACATGAAAAGGAAAAGGAATGACAATACCCCAAAACACAATGTTATATCTAATTGAATGTTTCCTGTTGAATATTTTGTGAAAAATAAGTGGGTGTTTAAACCCTCAATGTGCAAAGAAAAAACACTAAGAGTCACCGATGAGTGCCCCTGCCTTGGTGTCACCGACGTGCGCCCCTGTCTTGGTGTCACCGATGTGTCCCCCTGTCTTGGTGACACCGATGTGTCCCCCTGTCTTGATGTCACCCATGTGTCCCCTGCCTTGGTTTCACCCATGTGTCCCCTGTGTGTCACCCCTGCCTTGGTGTCACCCATGTGTCCCCCTGCCTTGGTGTCACCCATGTGTCCCCTGCCTTGGTGTCACCCATGTGTCCCCTGCCTTGGTGTCACCAACGGTGTCACCCATGTGTCCCCTGCCTTGGTGTCACCCATGTGTCCCCTGCCTTGGTGTCACACCAATGTGTCCCCCTGTCTTGGTGTCACCCATGTGTCCCCTGCCTTTGTGTCACCCGCGCAGTGTCCCCCTGCCTTGATGTCACCCATGTGTTCCCCTGCCTTGGTGGTGTCACCATTCGTATCAATGTGCCTTGTGTCAGACACTGTCAACCCCTGCCTTGGTGTCAATTGTGCCTTCGCCCACTGTCCCCATGGTCAATGTAACGCGGGTGTCCCCCTGTCACACATGTCACAGATGTGTTCCCCATGCCCTAAATTTTACCACTCAGTATCAACATGTCCAGACACTGTCAGGAATTGTACTGACCCTGCTTTCATTATCAATGTAACATGTCACACACTGTCAACATACAGGAATGTACTGACCCACTTTCGTATCAATGTAACATGTCACACACTGTCAACATACAGGAATTGTACTGACCCACTCGTATCAATGTAACATGTCACACACTGTCAACACACAGGAATTGTACTGACCCACTCGTATCAATGTAACATGTCACACACTGTCAACATACAGGAATTGTACTGACCCACTCGTATCAATGTAACATGTCACACACTGTCAACATACAGGAATTATACTGACCCACTCGTATCAATGTAACATGTCAGACACTGTCAACACACAGGAATTGTACTGACCCACTCGTATCAATGTAACATGTCACACACTGTCAACACACAGGAACTGTACTGACCCACTCGTATCAATGTAACATGTTACACACTGTCAACACACAGGAACTTTACTGACCCACTTGTATCAATGTAACATGTCAGACACTGTCAACACACAGGAATAGTACTGACCCACATGTATCAATGTAACATGTCACACACTGTCAACACACAGGAACTTTACTGACCCACATGTATCAATGTAACATGTCAGACACTGTCAACACACAGGAATTGTACTGACCCACTTGTATCAATGTAACATGTCAGACACTGTCAACATACAGGAATTGTACTGACCCACTCGTATCAATGTAACATGTCAGACACTGTCAACACACAGGAATTGTACTGACCCACTCGTATCAATGTAACATGTCACACACTGTCAACACACAGGAATTGTACTGACCCACTCATATCAATGTAACATGTCAGACACTGTCAACACACAGGAATTGTACTGACCCACTCATTATCAATGTAACATGTCACACACTGTCAACACACAGGAATTGTACTGACCCACTCGTATCAATTTACTAACAATGTAACATGTCACACACTGTCAATACAGGAATCGTACTGACCAATCACTCGTATCAATGTCATGTCACACACTGTCAACATACAGGAATTATACTGACCCACTCGTATCAATGTAACATGTCAGACACTGTCAACATACAGGAATTGTACTGACCCACTCGTATCAATGTAACATGTCACAAACTGTCAATACACAGGAATTGTACTGACCCACTCCTATCAATGTAACATGTCACACACTGTCAACATACAGGAATTGTACGGGCCCACTCGTATCAATGTAACATGTCAGACACTGTCAACACACAGGAATTGTACTG